GGAATCCCCTTTCCCTATCTGCCCAAGCCTCCCCCCCCCAGACTAATCCATAAATCCCTTGTTGGAATCCTCTTGTCCCCACATGGGGTCCTGCTCAATTCTTCGTGCTCTCTGCGTGACCCTCTCTCATTGCTGCCTGTTGGCTGGTTATAGCGTAGCCAGGTGGAAAAACCCAAAGGTTACGGCCTCACATGGATGCAACAGAGACACACAGGTCCCCAGACAGAAGGGAGTCTCTTTGGGTTGGCCAAGCCGAGGAGCCACGGTGGGCAATGACCACAATCCAAGGCTGCCCAGGGTGCCAGGGGTTACTCGTTTCACAGGGCTGCCTTCGAGGGAAGTTGTACACACGCATCAGGTTTTGAGGAGGTTCCGGGAAGCATTAACGTGCACATATCAGGGGTGCACAGTGCACATGCCCACTGAGGGGGATGTGTGTCCAGCAGGGGGGTCATGGTAAGGGTGGTCTGGCTTTCTGTGTCCAGAGGCTAAATCTGAGGAAGCAGCGGCTGCTGCTGCAGACTCCCTGCCTCAGTGGCTGTGTGTACTTCACGGCCTCCAGTCCATCTGCAAGGACATTGGGTGACCTTGACAGAAGTCAAGCAGGCTCAGCTGTTTGCTTTGGTGGGGGTGGGCGAGCTGGGGGGGGCTATATTATTGTGTGTAGGGAGCTTCAGTGACATTGAGCTTTACATTGAGCTCCTTGATTCTTTTTTTTTTTTTTTTTTGTAGTCAAGGGTGTATTGCTTGACACATGGGCTCAGATTCCAACTTGGATGCTACCTCTGGTCCTGAGCAGTAGGGCCGCAGGGATGACACTGGAGTGGCTTGTGTGTGTGGTCGCCTGTGCACTCTCACACGCGTGTTCTGAGTCCCCAGCCCCTCCTTCCCGAGTGTGCGCAGTCGGAAGGTGGCCACCGTTGGAAGCCTGGTCTGGGAGAGGCTGTGGAGCCCTGGGGAGGGCTCCGGGGACCTAAGGTGACAGAGGGACACTCTGCAAAGGTGATGCGTATCCTCGGGGGCAGCAGAGTGTTGCAAGGAGAGGCCACGCGGGCACATTTGAGGAGGTTGAGGCACAGGTGGGAGGGAAAACGTGGAGAAGCGTGTGGGTTGCTTTGAAACAATAAACTTTGGCTGCAAGGATCCATGACGATGGCGGAGCCAGTCCGCACTGAGTGGGCAGCTGCTGGGCGGACGTCTGCGCCGAAGTGTTCTTGGTGCACGGCTGTGGCTGGGCAGATTCTGCGAGTTTTTGTTACCAAGCCTGCGTGCAAGAGTCTCTTCCCCCTGACGTCCTGGCTTCATTTCCCCATTTGACTGCTGGCGGCTGTTTTCATTCCGACAACTTCCGTAGGTCGTCGGCTTTCCCGAACACCTGCCGCGAGGCCGCTGTGGGCACTCACTGGCTTTCTCTGAGAGCCTCCGGCCAGAAGGAGCCACGGAGGCAGAGACTCGCTGGCTTCAAAGAGTGCATCCAGAGTCAAGGGACTGTCCATGCGCATGTGAGATTTTCTACTTTGTAGTATTTTGCTCAGTTGTTGCTGCCACTGATAGCAATACTAATTTATTTAAAATAAATAAAATAAAATAAAGCTCTCAGGGCCAGTGTTGTGGAGCAGAGGTTAAGCCACTGCCTGTAACACCAACATCTCTACGAGTGCTGGTTCCAGTCCTGACTGCTGTGCTTCCAGTCCAGCTCCCTGGGGAAGGCAGCAGAAGATGGCCCAGGTACTTGGGCTCCTGCCACCAGTTGGAGTTTCAGGCTCCTGGCTTTGGCTTGGCCCAGCCCCAGCCCCAGCCCCAGCCCCCGCCACTGCAGCCATTTGAGGAGTGAAAAAGCTGACTGATCTCTCTCTCCCTCTCTTTCTCTTTGTTGTTCTCTTTCAAATAAACAAATCAATTTTAAAAAATTAATAAAGCTGTTTCAACATGTAATTAAGTCAATGTCTTGCAGTGGAGCTTGGAGGAAGTTTAATATTATTTTTAAAAAATAAGATGGGGTAGCAAAGCTGTGGCACAGTAGGTTAAAGCCACAGCCAGCAGCACCAGCATCTCATGTGGCACCAGTTCGAGTCCCAGCTGCTCCACTTCTGATCCAGCTCCTTGCTAATGCACTTGGGAAAGCAGCAGAAGGTGGCCCAAGTGCTTGGGTCCCTGCTCCCATGTGGGAGACCTGGAGGAAACTCCTGGCTCCTGGCTTTGGATTGGCCCAACCCTAGCTGTTGCAGCCATTTGAGGGAGAGAACCAGTAGATAGAAGATGTCTCTCTGTCTCCTTCTCACTCTCTCTGTACTTCTGCCATTCAAATAAATAAATAAAAATTTTTTTTAAAGATCAGTATGGGCATTTGGTGCAGGAGTTAAAAACTCCACTTGGCATGCCTATGTCCTAGATTGGAGTGGCTGGGTTTGTGTCCTGGCTCTTTCCAACTTCCTGTTAATGCGCACCCTGGGAGGCAGCAGGTGATGGCTCAAGTACTTGGGTTCCTGCGAGAAACCAGGATTGAATTCCTAGCTCCCGATTTTGTCCTGGCCCAGCTCTGGCTGTTGCAGGCATTTGGGGAATGGGCCAGTGAGTGAAATCTCTCTCTCTCTCTGCTTTCAAATAAGTAAAATCAATACATAAACATTCTAAAAATAAGATAAAAAACAAATGTAAAGTAAATGCAAATAAATAAATAAATAAATAATTTTTAAAAGCCTCCCCAGTTGATTTCAAGTGCTTCCAAGGTGAGGGCCCAGAGCCAGAGCCGTCACGTGGCCTGGGTGGGCAGTGCCATTCTGGACAGGGCAGCTCTCCTGAATCCAAGGACTACAGGGCTGGCCCGGAAGCTGGCCGCCCGCCACGGACAGCCGGCAGCGCCACTCCTCACATCTCCTAGGGATGATGGGCGGCAAAGGGAGGGAACGTGCTTCGTTCACAGCAGCAGGAAATTGGGTTAGGCCAGGGGAAGTGGGTCAAGGCCTGGGCAGGCTTCCCGCTGAGTCAGTGTTCTCTGTGATGAGCGGGAACCTGGGAGCACCGTGGTGCGGGCAGCTGGGACACTCTCCCGGGCGCCTGTGCAGGCAGTGCGGGGCTGAACCGTCTGGGGGCTTTCTGAGCCCTCTTCCCAGAGCCCTGAGTACAAAGGCTTTTGGGGGCAGCTGGCCGTGAGCCTCAAGGGCAGAGGTCAGGAGCCCTGGGCAAGCCCGTCCCCTGCCAGACCACAGTCTCTCTCCTTCCTCACCTGTGACCTGTGGTGACGGAGGCCAGGCTGGTGCTGTGAGGGCACGCAACGCTCCACGCAGGAGAGCCTGTGCGGGCGGGCCCCAGCACTCACACTGGGGCTGCTGGCTTGCTGCAGAACTGAAGGGGGAACTCAGGCTGCAGCTTCTGGGGTGCCCTGGAGAGAAAGGGAAACCCTGGCAGAGCAGGGGCTGCTCCCCATGAATGGCACCTGCTTAGGGAGGGGGCAGGAAAGGGAGAGATGGAGGGGGAGAGAGGGGCGGGAGGCACTGAGGAAGGAACACGCAGCCTCATCTCCTTGTTTGTGTTTCTTGTATTCAGGAGGCGACTCCTGGCATCTTTTTAAATCCATCAGACAGGAACGGCTGGCTTACACAGCCCCGCCCTGCAAAGCTGGCCATCTCCCTTGCAGGGGGAGAGGAGCTGGCGGGCTCGGGCCAGGCTCCAGCTCCTCTCTGGCACCTGTGGGCAGGCAGCACGTGGGGCTGCTCTTTTAGACCAGACGCTCCCCCTGCCTGAGTGGGAACCACGGGGCGGGGTAGAGGGGGAGGCAGGACAGGTGGGTGAAGTGGGGTCTGTCTCTGCACTTCTCTTGGGCCCCTGGGCTTTCCTGGTGGCAGTGGGGCCGCCATTCGTTATATCCCATCTCTTTCTGACGTTCCTTGGGGTAGAGGGCCTGGATCTCCGTGCCGACTGCCTCTGGAGGCAGCCGGGGCCAGCACCGGGCAGAGGTCTGAGCTATGCTTCTCCCTGGGGCCAGACGGGCATCCTGGTCTCTGCATTTTCCCTGCTCCCAACCCTGCCCTCTGGAGTAGCTCAAAACAAGCTCACTGCCAAAGTCAGCCCTTCCTCCTCGGACAGAAAGCTCGGGTTCTCTCTTCTACTCTAATCCTTCTCTGCTAGTTTCTAGTCTTTTAATTAATTGATTAATTAATTAAACGTACTTACTTATTTAATTTTATTTATTTAATCAGAGAAAGAAGGAGAGAGAGAAAAGAGGCAGAGCACGACAGATCCCATCACTGGCTCATTCCCAAGAAGCTTGCAATGGCCCCAGGTCAGGGACTGGAGCCAGGAGCCCTGTCCCTCATGGGGGCAGCAGGAGCCCCATTACTCCCCCAGGTCCGCAGTGGCAGGAAGCTGGAGTGAGGAGCGGAGCTGGGCATTGAGCCCAGGTCCTCCGGTGTGGGATGAGGGTGTCCCAACCAGCATCTTAACTGCCAGGCCAAGCCTGCACGTCTAGTCTTTATCACAGAATATTACAACATAAACCTCTACAAAACCAAGACGCTTCTGGGTACTAATGAATGCACTTTTCTGCTACAGCTTATGTGGTAAGATTTGAGGAGCAACAAGAACTTTGGTCATTCTTGTCGTTGTCATTCGACTCACTCCTATGCACACTGTGGGACCGGGCTAGTGCTCTGTTCTGCACACAGGGTATGGAGCCCCCCCTCGGCAGGGAGCTTGTCTACAGTGGTGGAGCCAAACCCACAGGAGAAGAGTTGTGGTGGGGAGGGGGGAGCTGGGGTTGCGGCTGCCAGGGGAGGGGCTGGGGGGGCCGCAGTGCTGTGGTGGTGGCTTGTTAACGCAGACTTGTCGGCCCCTAGGTGTCTCTCTTGCAAGTATCTGGATGCTGCCAAAAGCCAATGCAAGCTCATCTCACAGCGCGTTTTTTTCTTGCTAGGACCTCAGACCAGCACAGAGTGTCCCAGAGCCTCAGTTGTTGAGGGTCCAAGAGAATCAATCCTTCATTCATTCATGGAACGGGTCTATGAAAGTGCCTTCTTAAATTTATTGTAAAATATACACAATGTAAACTTTACAACCTTAATCATTTAAAAATGTACAGTTGAATGGAATTAACTATGTTGACAACACCGTCCAGTCACCACCATCATCCATCTCTATAACTTAGAGGTTTTTTATTTTAAAAGATTTATTTTATGTATTTGAATGGCAGAATTACAGAAAGAGGGAAAGACAGAGAGAGAACGAGATCGTCCATCTGCTGGTTCACTCTTCAAACGGCCACAACAACCAGGGCTGGTCCAGATGAAATCCAGGAGCCAGGAGCTTCTTCCGGGTCTCCCACGTGGGTAGCAGAGGCCCAAGCATTTGGGCTGTCCACTGCTGCTTTTCCCAGGCCATTAACAGAGAGCTGGATTGGAAGCTGAGCAGACGGGACTCCAACTAGCACCAATATGGGATGCCGGCATTGCAGGTGGAGGCTTTATCCACTACTCCACAACACCAGCCCCAAGTTGTTTTTTAAACTTATCTATCTGAAAGGTAGAGAGACAAAGAGACAGAGTAACAGAGAGAGAACTCCCAAATTCCCACAATACCCAGGGTTGGACTGGGCTGAAGCTAAGAATGAGGAGCTCAATCCAGGTCTCCCCCATGAATGGCAGGAGTCTAACTCCTTCTTTCCTTCTCTTTTTTTAAGATTTACTTATTTATTTGAAAGGCAGAGTTACTGAGAGAGGGAGAGACGGAGAGAGAGAGGTCCTCTATTCACCAATTTACTCCCCATATGGCTACAACCTTCCAGGCTGGGCCAGATCTGTGCCAGGAACCAGGAACTCCATCCAGGTCTCCCATGAGGATGACTGGGGCCCAAGCCCTTGGACCACCTTCTGCTGCTGTCCCAGGCCACTAGAGACAGCTTCATTGGAAGTGGAGCAGCCAGGACCGGAATCAGCACCCATATGAGATGCCCGCATCATAGGAGGTGGCTTTACCCACTTGCCAGGACGAGGGCCCTGGGACCCAGCCTCTTGGGTCATCACCACTGCTTCTCAGGATCTGTCCTAGCCTGAAGCTGGGGCCAGGAGCTGAAGCGGAGACTCAGACCCAGGAACTCAGATACGGGAAGCAGATGTCTTAGCCCACCTTAACCTCTGGGCTGAATACCTGCCCCAGGACTTTTTCATCATTCCAACGTGGGAGTGTTTTATAAACCATATATATAAAGGAGGGGGGAGTCAGAAATTAATAATGTGCTATCTGAAGTCTTGACTGGGCAACAAATGTTTCCATCCACTTGCCAAGTGTCTGTTATGTACCAGGCCCCAAGAAATACGAAAATAAATGAGACCAGAACCCTGCTGGCGAGACCTCTTAGTCTGTGATGTTGGCTGCCTGTCCAACTTCAAAGCAGAGTGGGAAGAAACAAAATGTTCTCGGATGCAGCTCTGTGTCTTGAAGGACGGCAAGTTTGACGTATTCTCCTTTCAAGGGGAAATGAAAGATGCTTTTACCAGTGACCCCAGCTTCACCCAGTTACCAAGAACCATGGGATCTTCCGCTCTCTTTCTGGTTTTGCTTTGTTGGGCCTCTCGCATGTGAACAGAGATGATAATGTAATAACTATCATTGATTTAGACTCTTTTCCTTGACTAAGCTTTTCCCCTAGTTCTCACCCGACCCTCAGTCTACCCTGGAAGAGGGGGCAGGGCAAGGGAGACAGCCACTGGGTTACAGATTGGGAAGAGGGCTCAGGCCAAGAGGCAGTTCTGGCTTTGCCCAAGGCTGCACAACTTGTAGGCAGGCCATTACTGCGAGCAGGTCTTTGGGGGCTAGAGAAAGCGGTTGGGAGAGGCGCAGCATGGCAGGGAGGGGGGTTCCACATCAGGGAGGAGGAGAACTGGGCACGGAAGCATCTTTTATGTTCGGAGGCAAGGAGCCCAAGTCCAATTGAGTCGTGGAGCCGCCTGCGGGTAATGCCACTCTTGGCAGCTGGGGAGGCCGCGGGTGATGAGATGGAAGGTTTTGATGGGCACCATGCTGTCTGAAAGGCAACTACATCGCAGCAGCTGGAACAATCTCCAGCACACTGTGCTAAAAGCCAGAAGCAGCACCTCATTTGAAGCAGGGAGGCAAATGGTAGGCGTAGGCATCTATCCAGACCACAGGGGCCCGGTCGTCCAGCCTCTGGGACCTGGGGCTCCGATGGAGTGGCTCATGGTGGGGGGGGGGGGGACCTTGTTCTCTTGAAATGCTGCTCTGCTCTCAACCACTCCTGCCGCTGTGCGCCAGACACGGTACCCAACATGGGGCTACAGAGAAGAGAGCTCCTGCTCTCGGAGGAACTCTTGGTGCGACTGCTAGCATCACTACAGAGCAGCCCGGCCAAGTCCATGTCCTTGACCAGGTGCTACCTGTGCTCCGTGTCACAGTTCCACAGTCACGTTTCCCAAATTCATTCTGAGTTCCACACGTCTCGATTCTTGTTTCTGAGCTGAAAAAATAAAATTCTATCCCATCTCTGTGTTCTGCAGGCATTTTGGCTTGGTAGTGCAGCGTTTTTACGACCGGTGATCATGTTAATAGGTCAGATAGATCGAGTCGTAATTCATGATGATAGCCCAGGCCTTCCTGTTCCTAGGAGTCCTCATTTGCTGGGAAAGGAGTCTCCTGGTGCTCCAAGGGCCCGCAACTACCACTTCTGAACCAGAGCCAGGGCCTTGATGAAGTCCCGGCCCTGAGAGAGGGTCAGTTCTTGGACCTGCCTCGGCGCTGGCCCCAGGATGATAAATGATACAACCTCTTCTGTGCTCTTCAGTTTCCATATTGACTTCGCGACCTCTGCCAAGCACCGTGCGGCTTGCCAACCCCCGTCGTTTCCAGCAGTGTTGCGTCTAAGTAGGGCACCTGGATTAAACTGGCTGCCCTGAATGGTGCGAAAGGTGGAATTACGGTGCTCTTTGTTGTTGCTGTTGCTGGTAATTAATGTGTCTATTAATGGAAGTATCAACAGGGTTGGGAAATGGAGGAGGAGGCTTGGAAAGTGTTGCCAGCCACCTCCCGCTCTGTCAGATGGAAAGGGATAACCAATGGAGTAAGAATCCTGTGGACTGGGTTGAAGGTGGTTGGAATTTGTCCAGCTTCTTTCTGCCCCCTGAATTAAGGGGAGAGAGGTGGCAGCAGCCCTAGCGCCAGCCCCAGAAGCCCAGCGAGGCTTTGCCAACAACCAGCACCAGCAAGCCCCTTCGGCGTGGGTAGTGTATGCAGGTGCACTCTAATTTCACTATTTTGAAGTAATTAAGCTGCTTCTTCAATAAAAACAAAGCTTCAGATGTGCCCTGGTTTTCGGTCTTCCCCTTCCTGTGCCTTCTGAGTGAATATCTGCAGGATGTCTGGATTCTTGGCAGCACAGAGAGCACAGCCCGAGGATGTCTGACCTCTCTTCGGTTCCCAAGGAACTGGGGAGCTCACCTACGGCAGGGCACCCAAAAGCTCAGGGAGAGGTGAGGGCTTCTCAGATCTGAAGGGCCTCTTTCCTTCTCTAATCCCAGACAGGAGAGACTTCGGAGAGGACTTAGAGGTGGAGCTAGGGAATGAGACCAGGGTCCTAGCTGCGCTGTGTGGAGCACGTGGAAGGAAGTAGGCACTGGCGAGCAGGGCTCGATTTGTGCACAGGACAGATGGCTGCCAACGTGAGCTCTTTGAGACTTTAAACCTCAGCTCTCTTACATGTGTGCAAAGACCTAAAGAAAACCACGTCAAAAGAACTAAAGGAACGTGAGAACAATGTCTCAGTCAACAGACACTCTTAGGAAGGACAGAATAGAAATTCTGGAATTGAAAAGTAGGGGAAATGAAAAATTCACCGAGGAGCCCAACAGCATATGCAAGCAGGCAGAGCTGGAGTTGGCTGAGGCCACCCGGTCTGAGGAACACAAAGCAAAAAAAATGAAGAGACACAGCAGAGTCTCAGGAGCCTGTGAGACACCACCAGGCAGGCCAAGTCACACGCAGCGGCGGCTTCAGAGCGAGAAGGAGGTAGAAAGAATATCTGGAGAAGCAGTGACTCAAAATTTCCAGATTTAATGAAAAGTATTAAAGGACACATGTAAAAAGCTCAACAAGCTTCAAGTGAGATAAACTCAGAAGTCCACAGCTGGACACATCAAAATCAAATTTTTGAAAGATGGAGACAAAGGCTTTTGAAAGCACACAGAAAGAAACAACTCATCACACACAAGGAGCTCCTCTGAGCTTAACAGCCGACTCCACAGTGTTAGGCATGGAGGCCAGAACAGTAGGGTGGTGTAGTCTGAGAAGGCAAGGAAAATAAACCCCCAAATCGTATATCTGGAAAAACTGACCTTTTAAATGGACAAATTAAGATATTTCTAAATAAACGGAAACTGGAGAAGTTTGTTTTTACCAGGCTTTCCCTACAAGGAATACTAAATGGACCAGCATTGTGGCACAGGGGGTTAAGCTGCCATTTGTAATACCAACATTCCATTTTGGAATGTCAGTTCAAGTCCTAGTTACTCTGATTTTGATCCAATTTCCTGCTAATGTATTTGGGAATACAGCAGAAGATGGCCTGAGTGCTTGAGCCCCTGCCACCCATGTGGCAGACCTGAATGAAGTTTCTTGCACTTGGATTCATCCTGGCCTATCAATCTGGGGAGTGAATTAGTGGGTGGAAGATCGCTATCTCTCTCTCTCTTTTTCAAATAGATTTTAAAAAAAAATACTACAAGGGAGTCCTTCCTGTTGATATGAATATGTATAAGATGGGGCTAGTGTTATGGCAGGGTGAGTAAAGCCACTGCCTGCAGTGCTGGCAACCCATATGGACAATGGTTCGAGACCCAGCTGCTCCACTTCCAATCCAACTCCCTGTTAATGTGCCTGGGAAAGCAGTGGAAGATGGTCCAAGTCCTTGGGTCCTTGCATCCATACAGGGGACCTGGAAGAAGCTCCTGGCTCCTGGATTTTACTTGGTCCAGCCCTGGCTATTGTGGCCCTCTGGGGAATGAACCAGCAGATAGAAGATTCCCCGTCCCCCCTTCTCTCTCTCTTTCTCTCCCTTTCTCCCCCGCCTCTGTAACTCTGGCTTTCAAAGAAATAAGTACATCTTTAAAAAAGAAAATGTATGAGATAGTAATTTAAATTAATATAAAGAAAGTATTGGTAAAAGTGATTACTAGTTAAAGATAAAAACAGTACAAATACATTTTGTTTGTAACTCCTTTTTATGTTTTTACACATTTTAAAGGACAACTGCAAAAAGCAGTAATTAAAATTCTACACTGATGCACAAAATGTATGAATATGTAATTTGTGATGACAGTGGAAGTAAGGAAGAAACTTCTAGGAGCAGCATTATTGTATACATTGAAAATAAATTATTACCAATCTGGATGGTTACAAACTGAGACATTAATGGTAATCCACAGAGCAGCTACCAAGGAAAAAAGTTAGAAATATACAGTAAATATGAGACTTAAAATGGTACACAAGGAAATACCTCTTTAACACAACCTGCAACCCCCAACCCGAGGCTAGCACCCCTGACAGCCAGCCAGCCACCAGGGGCTGCGACCCCACCAGCACCCAGCGGAAGGAGCTCACCAGGGCCTCAGCACCAGTACAAGATCATCACAGTCATGTGTTTTCATTTTTTTTTAAACATCCTTCTGGAATAAAGTAGAATAAATCAAATGAAGTTGGTAACTAGGGACCTGGTGTTGGGCCTCCTGCCTGGGTGTCAATCTACCCTGTTAATCACCATGCATGATTTTCCAAAGTGCTATTTTAAGAAGCAGTTACAAAATGGCTTTTCCACGGCTGCATCGGCTGCATCGGCCTTGTTGCTATCTTCCAGGACAGGAGGCTCTGTTGGGCAGCGCATGGCTTTTTTTGCAGAGTTAAGCAGGCAACAAGCCTATTGCTTGAACCCATGGGTGAATTTGTCACCCCTAGTCCGTCCTGGGTCAGGGGTGTGTGTGTGGGGGGGGATGGGGAGGAGGCTGTAGGTTCTTTGTAAAGCACCGGGACACAGACACCAAGGGGGTAATCACGGCATGTGTGGTGTCTCAGAGAGAGATGGGTGCTGAGGCTTGGGATTAGGGAAGGAGCAGAGACCCCGGGGTGGAGGCAGGAGCAGAAAGAATGTGGGTGCCCTCGTTTGCTTCTCTCAACAACTGAGGTATGTCAACGCCTGTGAAGCAGGCACCGATGGCTCCCTCCGGCCTCTGGGCACCAGGAACCCAGGCAAACCGGCATCGCCCAACAGGGCTATCTTTGGCCTGCAGGAAGCAGCAAGTCTTCCCTGAACAGTTTCCATGACAACTGCAGGGCTGGGGCTCCCGAGGGCAAGGGGGAGGGAAAGGGAGGTGGAGAAGGCACGTGGTGGCTTTTCTGGAAAAGCCCATCTGTTTCTCTCTCCCAGGAAACCAAGCTGGTGGGAAAAATAAATAAATAAATGGCTTGGGCATCGGGTCTAGAGAGAGAAGGGAGAGAAGACGCCACGATGCTCCAAGAGCGGCTCTCCCAGGTGGGTGGCTCCCTGCGCTTGCGTAAAGGCAAGCGGCTGACAAGCACAGAGGTCGGACGGGCCTCAGTGGGTGGCAGCCTGGCGGGATCGGGGTGGGAGCTGTCCTCGGGGGCCTCCTCTCAGCCACAGCAGGACTTCTTCTTGGCTGGGCGGCCAACCTGTATCGTGTCCTCCCTCGCTGTGTCTTCCTGCTCCTTGAGGACCCTGGGAGAGGGGCACGGGGGACGCATGCAGGAGCTGTGAGGCCTGGGAGTCGGCAGGTTCCAGGTTGTTGGGGTAACACGGGGAGAACCCGGCCTCCCCAGCGTGCAGGTGCGTGACGGGGGTGGGGCGGGGGCAGACGGGGTCCCTGGGTCTCCACAGCCTCTCACAGTGAGCAGCCTTCAGCACGGCCCCCTGAATATAGCTGTGGGTTGTTCACTCTACAGAAAGGCCGTGCCAAGTGACTGTAGCTCCAGATTAGAGGCAGGAAGCAAGGGGTTAAAATGATGGCAAGGACACTTCCCAGGCACTATCACCTGAAGCAGTGCCTTTGATTCTCACAGCCTGCGAGTGGGCAGGGAGGAGCCGGCTGATGCTCCCACTTCGTCCCTGACAAAGCTCAAGAGGCTCTGCCCTGGGCAGTTGTGCCAGAGAAGTCTAGTCTAGAGTTTTTTTCTCTGCAGTACATAACCTCTCTAACACGTGGAAGAGTGGTTCTGGTTCTTAATTATTCAAATGAGGGGCCGGCACTGTGGCGCAGCGGGTTAACGCCCTGGCCTGAAGTGCCGGCATTCCATATGGGTGTCGGTTTTAATCCTGGCTGCTCCACTTCCGATCCAGCTCTCTGCTATGGCCTGGGAAAGCAGTAGAAGATGGCCTAGGTCCTTGGGCCTCTGCACCCACGTGGGAGACCCAGAGGAAACTCCTGGCTCCTGGCTTCGGATCGGCGAAGCTCAGGCCATTTTGTGGCCAATTGGGAAGTGAACCATCGGATAGAAGACCTCTCTCTCTCTCTCCATCTCCTCTCTCTGTGTAACTCTGACTTTCAAATGAAATAAAAAATAAATCTTTCAAAAAATTATTCAAATGAAAGCACGTTTTAAATTTCCCAGAGTGAGTGCTAAGAGCACATTGGGCACTGTTGAGCACTGGATGGATGGACGTACAGATAGATAGACGGACGGATGCGTGGGACAAAGTGAATGCCTTGATGTGTGAATGAACGGATGGATGAATGAATGGCCAAGGACTGCAAATGCGTCCCGGTGGGTTTTGTTTTTCCAAGTTTTGGTGTTGGGCAGGGCTTTGAGCACTCGTGTTTCTATGTGACCTGTTCCTCTGGTGCCGTCGCTGTGTCACAGCCCCTCACTCCCCGGTTCCTCACTCTGCCCCCCAAGAACCCAGGAGATGACCCATTCTAGCTCCTTGCTGGCTGCCAGTGTGGAGGGACCCAGGAGGTGACCTTTGACCTCCCCCAGGAGCCCCGGGGAAAGTTAGCCTTTAAGGCTTGGAGCAGAATACCGTGGCCAGCGTGACCAGCAGGGACTTCTCCAGAAGGCTCCTCCGAGCCCTGCGATCCCTCACAAAGGTCCACCCTTCCACCCTCCACGGCCAACAGGTAGGGAGGCCTCCTCCAGCCCGGCCCAGCTGGTCCCGGGGGGTTACCTGGCTAGGTGCAGCAGGGACTCCTTGGCATTGTGACCGGAATAGGCACTGCATTCATAGAAGATGAGATTGTTCTCCTGGAATTAGAAGGCGGAGGGCCATGGGCAGAGGGCAGGGGAGCTGCAGGGGGCGCGGGGAGGTGAGAGAAGGCTTGTGTGCCTCCACCTGCCACACTCACTGCCCATCACCGGCCCCTTAACTCCTCCAGCTGGCTCCGCACTCGACACCTGCTTGACTTCCGCACTAAGCACCTCCCAGGTGAGCTGCACCTTCCGCCGCCTTGGGCCCGCCCACGTCCTCAAGTGCCGCCCATCACCTGTATCACTTGGCCTTCAGGCCCAGCCCTGCGAGTCTGACAAAGACACAAAGTCCAGGGCAGGGAGACGAGGCTGGAGAAGGCGCTTGCGTTTGGTGGCTGGCAGGGCTCCCCACAGCATGCTTTTCCAAGGACACTGCGTTCCCTGGGCCGCGGGCGGGCGCCGTGAAGCACCCGAGAGAAGTTCTGCAGGCCAGCTGGATAACGCGCCAGCTGCCCGGGCTGTCGGCACTGACCCCACCAGCCCAGTGCTGTGCTGAGTGTGTGTGGGGGGGCTCTGGGTCAAGGCTCATCATATTGTACTTATCACTCCCATTAATGGATTGATTGCTTCTACCGTGATGCTAATGGCCCCGAGCCCTCGCTTCTGGAGGGGCTTAACGGATGCCTTGTGCACTGGGGAGGCAGGCTGCCAGCGCTGGCTCCCATCCCGCTCTCCCTGGCCACGCCCCACAGACCCAGTCCCACCCTCTGCCCTCTTCCCTCAGGCCCATAGGCTACATTTCGCCCTGTCCACTCCATCAGACGCTGGCCTTAGGCCAGTCTGTCACCCAGCAGAGACTCTCAGATGGAAAGTCACCATTTGCCCGCCAGCCTCAGGTTCTGAGCCCAGCACTGAGGGACTGTGTGATCATTTGAATGAATCGCTTGGACTCCTCTGGGTCTCAGTCTTTTGTCACTGACCAGACAGAGAAAAAAGCAAATGGGATAATAATACGGGTCTGCAGTTCCTTAAGCAGACTCTTTGGATCCAGATGTATTTAGGAATCCAGAAGTGTTGAATTTTGAAATGGTAATAGTGCAAGGTCTATGGAACACCTAATGCCCTCAGTGGGTCTGAGACATCATCTTATAACCAGAAAGAATTAATATTTCTTCAGTGAATGATTTGAGTCTTCACTCAAAAGGAGGTAAAAAACACAAACAGCCTTATGCCACTTCCCAGTAGATTTTTCTGCCAGATGAAATGCAAGAAGATGTTTTGCGTTTTGGGTTTGTGGTGCCTGGTGACCCTGCAGAGGCACCTGCCAGGCCTCGTTCTCCCTTGTCCTCCAATCTCACGTTCTGTGTGTGCGCTCGGAGGCTCTGGGCCCCTGGGGCTGTGAACAGCAAGCCTGCAAGGGACTGTGGACTCACAGAGCTGGCAAGCACCCTTGCTCCCAGATACACTGCTCCACCCAGACCAAACCGTGGCCGGAAAAGCAGCCATGGCACAGGCACTGTGTTGTTCCGCCCCACGTCCATGAAGCCTGGCTGGTTCCCTTCTTGGGCGGGAGGGCAGGTGTGTATTTTTAAAATTATTTATTTATTTATTTGAAAGGCATAGAAAGAGACAGAGACAGAGAGAGAGAAATCTTCCATCTGCTTGTTCACTCCCCAAATGCCTGTAAAAAGCAGGGCAGGGCCAGGCCAAAACCAGAAGGTGGGAACCCAATCATAGTCTCCCCTATGGGTGGCAGAGACCCAAGTATTTCAGCCACCATGGCTGCCACCCAGGTTGTGCATTAGCAGGAAGCTGGAATCAGAAGCAGGGTCAGGACTCAGAGGCAAGCACTTGGAGACTTAACCTCTGTAGCCACGCCCGCCCCCTGCTGCTTATTGTTAAAGGCAGTTTTTCCAGTGTGAACCCCTCCCCCGAGGCCATCTGGAGCTCACAGCTTTGAGGCTCGATGCTGACAGGCTGAGCTCTCTAACAGCGCGGCCCAGAAGCCCCTGCGTGGAGTTCTCATCGCGAAGGGGAACCAGCGCGAATGCAGACGCTGGGATTCAAGTGTCAGAGGGGGCCTGCAATCAGTGACCTCTTACTGTCTCAGCCTTTAGGATTCTGAGTTCCAAGCCAGAGAGTTTAGGATACTTCCGTGCACCTCAGAGGGCCCTAAACAACTGCGCTTATGGTCTGTGGCTTAAAAATTTTTTTTAAATTAACTTTTATTTATTTGAGGGGGGAAGGGGAAGGAGAGAGAGAGAGAGAGAGGGAGAGAGAGAGAGAGAGGCTCATCCACAGGTTGACTTTCCAAATGCCCAGTGACCCTGGAACTCAGTCCAGATCTCCCGTGTGGATGGGAGGGACCCAGACGCTCGAGCCTTTATCTGCTGCCTCACAGGGTGCACATTAGCAGAATCTAGACCCAAGAGCACAGCTGGGACATAAACCCGGCCACACCAGTGTGGGATGTGAGCATCCTAAGTGGCACTTTAGCCACTAAGCCAAATGCCCACTTGGCTTGCTTTCTTTTCTTTTTCTTTTTTTTTTTTCTTTTTTTTTTGACAGGCAGAGTTAGACAGTGAGAGAGAGACAGAGGAGAAACGTCTTCCTTCCGTTGGTTCACCCCCACAAATGGCTGCTACGGCCGGCGATCCGAAGCCAGGAGCCAGGTGCTTATCCTTGTCTCCCATGTGGGTGCAGGGCCCAAGCACTTGGGCCATCCTCCACTGCACTCCTGGGCCACAACAGAGAGCTGGACTGGAAGAGGAGCAGCCGGGACAGAATCCGGCACCCCAACCGGGACTAGAACCCGGTGTGTCGGCGCTGCAGGTGGAGGATTAGCCTAGTGAGCTGCGGCACCGGCCCACTTGGCTTTCAAGTGCAGGAGCTGGGACCCTGTGCGACTTCCAGAGAAGATTCCCACCAGTGCTCTTGGGCACATGTCCACGTGCCCTGGGGTGGGGGTGGGGTGGGGGTGGGGTCCCACTCTGTCCAGAGGGATGGAAATACTCGCTCTTTACCTTGGCAAGCTGTTCTCCGAGGCCTCGGGGGACTTCCCGCTCCTTCTCATTGTCAAGTTTATTGCCTAGCAGCAACACAGGCACACGGTCTCCCACAGCGTCCTGCAGAACAGATAATCCACCAAGTGAGAGAAGCATCCATAAGGAGCGCCCAGAAGGACAGCCTGGAAATGCTGGCTGGGGAGGTACAATCTGGCTCGAGAATCCCCAGCTGCCAGCACAGGCCCCAGAGCCCCCTTCTGCGACAGCCTCAGTTTACCACGCTTCGGCAGGGTGCCCGAGGCCCGCCCCTGGGTGCCTCCCAGCCCTATCTTTGCAGCGGCCGCGCCATCTTCATCATGCTCCTTGGGTCTTGAATGGAAGATGGGCTCTGCAGGTGTGCAGGGGGGTGGGGTGCAGGAGGAGTGGGCTCCTACAGACAGCACCCCAGGTCATCCTGAGTGGCCAGGCTTAGTCTAGGGAACCAAGGGAAGCAATGCAATGTGGTTTGAGCTGTGCTGGGGCTGCTTGGATTAGAAGTGGCACCCCCCGAGGCCTCCCCTTGGCACACAAGCTCCCTGACGGTGGGAGCCAAGTCTGAGTCAGGGTGCTGGGCCCGCAGGGCTGCTTTAAGTGGCTGTTGCAGGTCCAGCTGAAGGTGGACATTACAGACCCCTGCTGCTGGGTGCTTTGCCTCTGAGCAGCTGTACCTCTGGGGCCAGAAGTCCAAGGCTCTGCAAGGCGTCTGCCCTCTGGACTCCTCCAGTGGCTGTAGCATGACAACCACACAACCATACGCCTGCCTCCCCTGGGGGTCCGCATCCCCCAGGGTCTCTGCTCCTCCCTTGTGAAGGGGGTGCTACATGGGCCTCTCCGGAGGGTGCCCGCAGGACCCAGCACGCTCAGCGACTCGGTGGATGCAGCCTCGTTCACATCTCTGCGGGTTACTACTTTTGCTTCGAGGAATACTTAACTGGGGACTTGTCAGCACACTTTGGTAACAAACCGTGACTCCTGGTAGTACAGTGTTTTACTGCATGGAGGGAGCAGCGGGCTAACAAAACTGGGTTACTGCACGGCTAAGGTTGTCTCCATCTTCAGCTACCTCACCTCACCATTTCAAACGAATGCCCAGAGTCCAGTGACACACACGCCTATTTTAAGTGTAAATGCAATTACACTTGAAATTAAAGCCTCCAAGTCTCCTTAACCTGCACATTTGTATTTCCATTCGATGGAGGGAAAAAAATTCTCATCTGTGAAATGGGCGCACATCAAACTCTCCGAGAATCCAAAAGCACATTCAGCAGCAAAGGCGCTGAGTAGTGAGGACTCTGCAGTACACGGCTCCACTGTTCCCTCACACTGATTGTCTGGATTCTTGCCTCTAATGAACGCTCTGCTACTTAGTGCCTTATTGCCTCGAACGCTCTAAAGCTGCCAGCCATTGGTAAGATGTCGATTCATGCTTGTGATAACCACTAAAAGGCACTACAAGCTCTTAGGGTGCTCTTCTGCCCCATCAACACGGATTAAGTTATGTGCAGCGTTGCTGAGACATTAAGTGGATGGCACCATATTCCAATTACTTGAAAGTGAGAGACCCACATACAGACTGCTGTGGCTCCCTATCAGCCCGAGCTGTCGTTAACAGGAGCGCCGCCTGTTTTCCCACTGCACACTTGTGCGAAGCAGAGTTTTTCACAGGAAAGCGGAGGAAGCAGAGGAAATGGGCCAAAGGCTTGCAGTTTGGAGCACCTGGGAGAGAGATGCTGGTGGACGGCCGGGCGAGGCAGGACGCGGCCTGTGGGATTTCTCGACATGCAAGCTCTCTGGAAGTAGGAGCAGCAGACTGGAAACCTGGCGTCAGACTCTAACCCGGATTCTGTCACTACTTGGAACGGGCGGCGGCTTCAGTGCCCCACTTGTGAAGGCGATGGCAGGCCCCGAGCGGCCCACGGGAGTGAGGAAGGGACTGAGGCGTAAGCCCAGCACCCGAGCCCTGTGCTCCAGACGCCAGTGCTGCCTCTTGGGGAAAGCAGGGGCAGTGTCCTTTCCATTTGAAAGCGATTCCTGGATCTGAGGAGTTCAGAGGGAGCAGCAGGGAAGCAGAGGGCCCAGCCACGGCTGGAGTTTCCATCTTCCGCGGCTACCCTGGTCACAGCACCCCCTCCACAGGCTGTCTGTCACCGTCACCGTCACTGTCACCCCGGCTCAAGGTCACTCTCTGACTCAAGGGCGCGGGGAGGTCATGCAGTTGGGGGTCGGGCTCTCATGGTCTTTCTTACCTTTAACACCCGAAGTCTTGATCCAGCTGCCTAAACTTTACACCTGTCCCATTTGAACTAGCCTTTCAGCCCAGGTACCCCCTTGGCAAGTGCATGCCCATAACTGCTCCCTAATGAAGTAGCACTTCCTTTTGAAAAGGTCAAAGGGCACCTCTTTCAATCGTCTAAGGCTCTGGGGAACAAGTCTCTGGTCCGTCCAATCTCTGTGGTGGATCCCGTTAGAGGTGTCGGCAGAAAACCCCACGGGCGTGGCAGGTCAGAGTAAAGAGAGCTTAGCTCTTGAGCCAGCCACACAGCGTTTCTCCGGGAGACTCGGGCCCCGCTGCCACCTCTCGGGCGACTTGCCTAGGTGGCTCCCCTGCTCCGAGTCCCTGTTCTCTGATCCGTAAAACAGGCATCGGAAGCTGGTTTCTGTTCTGTGACCCGCTGTCGGAGAGGCCCTTTGACATCTTAGCTGCCTCTCTCTGCACCCGAGCTTGTTGGAAGACAAGATTTGTTGAAATGCACATCTTGACTTTAAATAACCAGAGCTGTCGGTGTGGCGCAGAGGATCGGTGTTTAGCTTAGAATGCGCAGCTGTTGGGTTTGGTGGGTTGTGGGGTGTGTATGTGTGTGTGTGTGTGTGTTCATATCTGTTTGCTGGGAGGCATGAAAAAGCACTCAGCTGGGAGTGTGCTGCTATTTCTCTCGAGCCAGAACAAAAAAATTTCTCAGCACATGAAAGCATGCCGTTGCCGTTATGCTAAAAAAAAAAAAAAAGACTGCAAAATTATATCTTGGGGGTTTCCATATTTATCCTCCCCCTGGACGCTGAGGCAAAACAAGATTTATTTGTGTAGTTCATTTTAAACTGCCAGCACTTCAAGCTCAACTTGGAATGTGGGGGGAAAAATCAAACTGCTATTTTTTGCTCCGTGCTGTACGTTGTCACCAAGGACAGAGATCACAGAAGGAAATTTAGCTGGCAGCTCAGGCGGGGAGAGGGAAGCGGGCCAGGCCCCCTTGAGCTGCGCAACCGTTCTGCTTTGGGACCGAAGCAAGAAAAGCCTGAGAAAGCAGACGGATGGTGGTTGTCCGGGGGCAGAGGTCAACCGTGAGCCGCGCGTGGCTGGAGGAAAGCGCCGGGCAGAGGCCAAGCCCGGGGTCCTGATTCGGCAGGCGCCGTGGACAAGTCAGTTCCTCCCTTTGGATCTGTTTTTCCCACACAGGAAATGAGAGGTCTCTAAGTGGTTTTCCCAGTTCGGAGAGACTGGTCTGGCACATCACCTGCTCCAGTCATCGGCTTCCCAGGTGTCCGGGCTTCATAATATGGCGCTGTCAGAATGACAAAAAGATCTACGGAGAAGTTAAACACCCGGGAACACAGGCCCGGGGCGCTGAGGATTGTCTGGACTTGAAGGAAACACCAGCCCACGCAGGCTTCTGCCAAATCCTATTTTCTCTCCCTGCCCCAGGCCACAACGTCTTTAGAGGTCCAGTTTGTTCCCTGGTCTACCAGAGGACACTTAGCGCCTGCCCAGTCCCCCTCTGGATGGGAGTGGCTGGAGACATTCTAGCCGAAGGAGGCAAGAGACAGTTACAGGATTGCTGAGTTGGCAGCGGGGAGGAACCATGTCGACGTCCTATGAAGTGCATGGGAGAGATGGCGCACAGTGGGCCCGCAGACATGGTGATGCCTGAGAGAGGAGCAAGGACTTGGGTGGGTGGGGCAGGTGGGCAGGCGTGAGGACAGGCAGGCCAGGTGTTTTCCTGCATCAGAGGATTTTGATCTTCTCTGGGCTACAAGGAACCCTCCAAGATCTCATCCCTACACAACTGCTTCGCCGTCCTGGCCACTGAGAGTCAAACGCCACATATACTGCAGACTCGTGGCACGGTAGGCCCGGAAGTGACCAGGCTGGGAGAGTCAGGACTCCATTTGCAGGAAGCTCCACGCCGCCCCACCTCTTCCAAGAGTCAGCCTGTGCCACGGAGGGCGTGTCTGGCCGTGTAAGTGCTGCTGTCCAGGCCGAGGGTGGAAGGGGCACTGCGAGCCACCAGCCACCCCTCCCTTCGTAACGAGCTTCAGGGCCCCGAAGGCTGCTATTAGAGCGCGCCCTCCACCCTCCCCTCGCCAGGCGAGGGAGTTGGTAAAGTGCTTGGAGCTCTTTGGAAAAATCAAGTGTGCCACAAATATAAAGCACTTATTATTTCCAGTTCCCCTCAGATCAAATTAAGTGTCAAGTTTCCATCTATCAGCTGACACCTCTGATTGCCGGTTGCCAAGGCAGAATGAGTTCGCTTTTCAAGAATTGGGAGAATAATTGCGTTTCTGATGCTCCCCTTGCACACTTTCCACACACACCCTGCCACGAGACACAGCCTCCCTCCCGCACTTGCTCCCGAATCCTCAGGCTGCTGAGTTGAATGTGACTCCGGGTACATCACACGGCAGTCTCTGGGGTGCCGGGGGCCACAGGCTGTGTGGGGGCCACAGAGCCAACTCCCGGCCAACAGCACAGGTGCCTTTGTACATGACTGCGGCTCACAGGGTAGACCCTGGACCAGCAGTACTGGCCTCCCCTGAGCACTTGTTAGAAACACGAATCTCAGAGCATGGCCCAGACCTGCTGTGTCCCAGTCTGCATTTTAACAGGGTCCCAGGTCATCCCTACCTGTGTTGAAAGTTTGAGAAGCACCTGTGCAGGCTGGGGAGTGGGGGGGGGGGGTAGCTGGGCATCAAAGTCAATTGGAGAGCTCTGGGTTTTTTTCTCCCCGGGCCCTGAATCATTCCACTGTGGGAGAAAGCGCCCTGGAATTCATGTTGGTTAAAACATCCTCCTGATACTCATCTAGGTTAGCCATCTAGGAGCGTTTAACTGTACCTTCTCCTGAAATTTTCAAGAAGGAAAATCTTGAACTACAAATTGTATGGAAAACCCCACCCACAGAGAATTCTGAATTAACCAAGCATGGATGTGCCTCTTGGCCCGGCCCCCGCACCCATGGGTGCATCATGGCTTCCAGGGGGCATTGTAGCAAGCAGGGGCTGGCGATGTTCTTCAGCCCAGGGAGGCGTGTGCTTGGTACATGTTCCGGAGAATGACCCCAGTCACAGCTCAAGGTGGCCTGAGAGTTCTTCCCTCTTGTCACCAAACCCAACCTGATGCTCTCTGTCCTCTGGATCCCAGCTCTCTGTGCAGCAGGTGTCTAGGAAGTGACAGCCCCGAGGACAGCAGACAGCACAGATCCATACACGTGTCTGCACTCACTCCCACTAACCCCAGGCCACAGGACCAGCTCCGCCCAGCTCTAGGACACATCGAAATGCAGATGCTGGTTCACAATTCTGTGTCTGTGGCTGGGAAAAGAAGGGGTGGGCTGGAGAAGCAGTGGCCCTGATTTCTCCCCTTGAGCATGAGACAGCTATGCCAGGTTGGAGGTGTTCAAAGGGCAACCCTTTTGTCCACCGAAATGGTACCTGGACTTACAAGATACAAAACTTGAAGAAGCAGAGCCAGTCTGACCAAGAGGGAAATGAGGGGCCCAGAACTGTGGCCACGAACCTTTCCTTGCCGCAACCCAAGCTCTGGGGAACATCAGCTGCATTCCAGGGCTTGGCAGAAGTTCTGAAAATCACCAGGTTGGGAGACCCCCAAGGTCTCTCCTGTGCCTAACTTCTGTGACGAAGATGGATCTGCTGGTGTTGCCACACAACCACGAAGAGGAAGGAGGGAGGAAGGGGAAGGAAATTCATGCCACGAACACCAGTGTTTGCAGAGGAATCACTGTCACGGTCACCCGGGCCATTTCCTTCCATTGCTAGCTCGGCGTCCAGACGATCTGCTGCATTTAAGACTCGCCTGGTCTCATACAGTGCTCAGGTGCAGCAATTTTGAACAATAATTTGTGTTAAATAGGTTTCTGGGCTCTGGCATCCATTCTGTTCCTTTTCTTTCTTTCTTTTTCTTTTTTTTTTGGTAATGAGAAGGAGACAGATGAGTGGAGAAAGGGAATGGCTCAACCAGTCAGAACTGTAAGAGAAAGATTTGGGTTGGAGGGGTCATAGCTCTTTGGGCCCAAAGGAGTGAAGAAATGTACAACTCTAGTTTCTGCCTTCACCACCAGAGGGCATCCATGAGTGCATCCACCATCCGCTGGGCACTGCTTACGTGGGTCCCCATGCCACGCTCCCAGGTTGCACTGCTGCTCCCAGGAGGCAGACTCCTGCAGAGGCTGTGGGTGGGTAAACACGGGACTTGCAAGGGTTTCGAGGAAGTGACCAGGGACTGTGCACGCTGCTGCAGGCCTGGAGCAGAGGCAGCTGCCCGTCAGCTCCGTGAAGGCGCCAGCGCTGTCTCTTGTTTGCTTCCGGAATCCCCAGCCCCTGGACAGCGTCCCGCAGTGTTCTGCACCAAACTCAGCGAATCAAAGATGACGCTGGCGGAAGAGCTGGGACATCTTACGTGACTGGTTCGTGAAAGAAACGAGTGGCTCGTCCATACGACCCTTGACCTTGAAGAGGCTGCCTTGGCATGGCAGAAGAGGAGCACGCAGACAGGCAGGGAGCAGGAAGCACATGCGAAGCAACACGCTGCAAGCAAGGTGGAGACAGCAGAGTCCTCGAGGTCACCCTGAATTCCAAGGGGACACCAGGCCCCGAGGCCCTGCCTGGAGCCCCCACATGGGCGGTCAAGGTGCCCTTGTGTGAAGGCTGTGACAGAGGTCCCCAAACGCAGCCCGCAGCTGGGCCCCCGGAGCCAGACTGACGCAGGGCGTGGAAGAGGCGGTGCTGAGGATGAGGGAAGGCTCCCAGCCCTCTCCCAACCCAGACTCTGGCTCTGAGAGCCCACAGCAATGGGAGGGACACAGTTCCTGGCGTCACGTGTCCGTTTTCTCCCCAGGAGGGCGGGGTCTGTGTCCGTCTCGTTCACGTCCAGACTCCCAGTGGCCAGCCTGCTCCGAGGCATTGCTGCCTGGACAGAGGGATCGGTCTGTTCTGAATCGGGTTTGGAAAGTGCAGCGGGCCAGGTGGGCGGGTGGCAGAGAAGAGGGGGCGGCGCAAGAGCAAGCCCGGGGCTCCCCGGGAGGCGGCCAGCTCACCTCCACGTTGCTCAGCCACTGCCGCACCGACAGGAAGGACTGCTTGGCCGTGAGGTCGTACATGATGATGACCCCGTCGGCTTTTCTGAAGAACTGCTGGGTGATGCAGCGGTACCTGTCACGGAAGGGCCATGGGGTGAGAGGTGCTGGACCGTCCCTGGGGTGGCCAGGCCGGTGGGGGGACAGCTCCTCACCTCTCCTGCCCAGCCGTGTCCCACAGCTGCAGGGCCACCTGCGCACCGTCCACAGTCACGGTCTTCACACGGTAATCGATGCCTGCAAGGTGCAATGGGCTTGCTGGGGCTGCCGCACACCAGAGCCAGCCTCATCTTCAAACCAGAGCGTGCCCAGAGTCACACCGGCCCAGGGTGCAGCTTCTGGGAGGTGACGAGGGGACGTGGACAGAACACAGCTTCAGGATGCCTGGCCCTTGTGTTCTGGTCCTATCTGCCATGCACTGGCTGCGGGTCTTGATCAAATCACGGAGCCTCTGGAACTGCAGCTGTCATGTGATCCAGACCCGTGGAGGGATCAATCAGATCACGCACGTGAAAGCATGAGACCAACGCAGACCATCATTCATGCCTGCCGGCTTACTCCCTCGCTGGGAACATGGAGGAGGAGGCGTGGCGGCACAGCCTGTGATGCCGGCATCCCACATGAGGGCACCGGTTCAAGTCCCCGCTGCTCTGCTTCTGATCCAAGTCCCTGATAGTGCATCTGAGCAAACAGCACATGATGGCCCAAATACGTGGGCCCTGCCACCCACATGGGAGGCCTATGGGAAGTTCTTGGCTCCTGGCTTTAGCCTGGCCTAGGCCTGGTTGCTGCAGCCATTTGGGGAGTGAACCACTGGGTGAAAAATAGCTCTCTCGAGCGTGAGCTCTGCCTTTCAAATAAATAAATAAATAAATAGATCTTTTTTTAAAAAAAAAAAGAGGAAAAAAGATTGTCTCCAAATTAATCTTCCTTCCTTCCTTTCTGTCTCTCTTGGCCTAGAACCCTTCCAAAATCTCCCCTAATAAAATCCAAATATCCAAGGGGTGGGTCATACACCTGAGCCATCCAATCCAGAGGTGTTGGGGGTGGGGAGAAGGAGGAAGAAGCAGGGGAGACACTGGCAGGTAGAGGAAAGGACAGAAGAGAGGGGAGGAGGCGGGGGGAGGAGGGAGCCAAAGGCAGCCTTCACCCTCGAGATGGAAGCCCAGGCACTGGGCAAACCCCAGGGAGAGGGAAGGAGGTCAGTGGCCCGCGTTCTGTGGCCCACACCGGCCTCGGCGCTGTGATCCAGATGTTCCCCCTCTGCTGTGTGGGCAAGAGCGTTCATGATGCAGAGAGCTGTTGCAATCCTCCCCTCAAGGACCAGGCCCCAGAACTCGCCAGGATCCCCTCGCACCCTCACAAAGACCCCTGTAGTCCTGACCTGGACAGACAGGAGCATAGGAGGGCAAGCAGAGACGGAGGCAGTCAATGGGAAAAGTCACCCCGCCACGGCAAAGGCCAAGGCCATGGTAAAGGCCAAGGCCATGGCAAAGGCCAAGGCCAGCCCACTAGAGACCCACAAGGAGAGGAGAGGCAGAGGTGGCCACTCGGAGAATGTTGGGGCCAAGCGGGGTCCAGAGGCCTGTGCTTCAGAGGAGGGCAGAGAGAAACCCTCCATGTAGGTGTCCCACATGGCTGCCCGGATGGACAAAAGTGATTCTTCCCCTTAGGGAGTGCTTTCCACTGGCTGCCTCCCCCACCTCACAGTGCACCTGTGTCGTCCACGTGAGCCGTAATCTGCAAGCGCACGTGGACATACTCGTGTGCCCACACACACACCCGTGCACATATGCATACACACAGTCACATGCACACACATGCACACACACACAAATGCATGCTCCACGGAGAGCTGAAGATCAGGAGTCCAGATGCTGCGCCTGGCCAGAGCCAGACAGCTGCAGTGGTGACAGCGGTGACATGTGAACCCAGCTCTGAGGCTCACTGCCCCTTTGATTGTGCACCTCGGGCACAGAGCCCCTGGCTTCTTTGTTCCAAGGACAAAGCTCTGGCTAAGTACTCGCATCAAAACACGTTGCACCTGGTGGGGAGCAGCACCCTGAGGGAGTTTTCTCCTTGGCTAAAAACAGTGAAGGGGCTTCAGGGCCTGTAGTCTGAGAAACTGAAGAGGCGGCTGCCTTCTGATAACTACTCAGGAGAAGGCCAGCCATGGCTGGATCTGAAACAGGCTGGCGGGTCCAGGGCCCGGAGGACGGAGCCCTCTGCTTGTTGGCAAGGCCGCCGGCAGGAGCGCAGGTGGGTGGTGCGGGAGCAGCTGGGTCTTGGCTGCCATTGGCTACTTGTTCTGCCAGGGGGTGGGAGCTTTGTCTCACCGGGAGTGAGCGGGACAGCAGAGAGCTGGAAGATGTGTTCTGTGCTGGGGTGAGCTTGGCCAGACTCCCTGCTGCACACACAAAGGACTCCTCCCTGCCCACACAGGCAGGCAGGTGGAGGAAGCAGGTGAGTAAGCCCACAGGGGCGCTAATGGATCTGAAGGCCACGGGCAGCTCTAAGATCCCAGCTGGCAGCAGACCCATGTCCTGTGTTCCCGGCTCAGTTCTGCCACTGAGCAGCAGAGGGATCTTGCTGATGCTTTACCTCGCCTCCTTTGAGGGGTCCACTTTCCCCACCCACAAACTCAGGCAACAGATGAAACAGCCATGTCCCCTGTTTATGACCTTGAGGTTCAGCTGTAACAGACAATGGTCATGTCATGGTGACCCTCACATTGCAACTCAACTGGCTCCAAGATGGCATCAAGTTGGAGCAGCCTATCACCAGAAAGCGGGCTATGGAGATGGTGTGGGTTGGAGCTGGGCTGAAGGACCCCAGGGAAGTGGTCCTTTATGTTTATGTTTCTGGAAAAGACGGGTGTGAGCTGTGGCAAAGCAGGAGGGGTGGAGGAGTGGGGAGCGCCAGCAAGCCTTAGGGTGCTCCTGGATTTCTCTGTAGAGAAGGGCAGTGGGATGGAATCTGAGTAGTGGCCAGGAGAGGACCAAGGCAAAGCTTTGGCAAGGTGCACCTTGGGTTCTGCCTGGTGATTTAAAGCAGAGAGGCCGTGACTCCTTCTGCAAGGAACAGTGGAAAGAGCAGTGGACTTGGAGTCCTGGGTTCCAGTGAGCCTTAGCTGCTAATATGCAGCTTGACCAGGGCTCTGAGTCGCCTCACTTACAACATGAGATGTTATGCACAGGCCACCCCCCCAGCTGCTTCCGGCTCTAGTGTCCTACAAAACCCATCATCTGATGCCTCCAGGATGTCCATGGGGCCCAAGAAGGTGCTATTTTTTAAAAAATTAGTTCACTAATGTTTTCTTTGAAAGGCAGAGAAATACACACACACACACACACACAGATCTGCCATCTGCTGGTTCACTCCCCAAATGCCCACAACAGTCAGGGTTGGACCAGGCTTCAGCCAGGAGGCAAGAACTCCATCCCAGTCTCCCATGTGGGTGGCAGGGACCCTCGTGTTTGGGCCATCACCTGCTGCCTCCCAGGGTGGGTGTTAGCAGGAAGCTGGAATGGAGAGGAGAGCCAGGACTTGAACCCAGGCACGCTGAGAGGATGAGAGTGTCCCAAGCCACAGCTCCACAGCTGCACCCAATGCCCAGCCCTAAGCACCTGCTATTGAAGGAGTAGGCTGGATCCTAAGGTGGGACAGGCAGGACACTTGAAGTCACAAGGTAGTGTTACAGCAACTCACTTTACACACAAGGACAAGGGTCCTCGTTTCTGGGAGGGAGCAGATTCCAGGAAGTTAACAGGGACCCCTCTGGCGATGGAAGTGTGCCAGGAAGAACCACAGCACCCCCCACTCCTGGACACTGTCATGGCCACTGACTGCCCTGGCCGGGTGATGGCCAGGCCCTGATCTGGGGGTGGACGGCGTGGCCTCCATGGCCGTGATAGCTCTGTGAAGGGCGCACCTTCCAGACGGCTGCTGTGCCATCTGCTCACCGACATGGGCAGCAGAGCGAGCCCGCTGCGTGGCAGGGAAGCTAATCTGAGCCGCCGCTCCAGCCTGCTCGAGCGGCGTGATGAAGGGCATTCCTGATTTGGAACTTTGGATTTTTTTTCCACTTCCTAAATTGTAGTTGTTTTCATAATTGGCCTCCTGGGAAGTGCAAATTCCTCTGACTTCCTCTTTTTCAGGCTTCTATCCAAGGCCTCAAGATGGAAACAGATGCTGATTTGTGGACAGAGATGCACACAGCCCTGGGGGGCGTGCCTCTGAGGGCCTGAGGGCTTGGCCTCCATGCCTCTGCCTCCTGTACACCTGCATGGGGTCATGGCTTGGGGGCCCAGCCCATGGGATGCCCTCCAAGGAAGGTGAGTCTGGTTCTCTCGCCCATTGCTTCTTTTTTTGTTGTAATTTCCACTTATTTTCACTTTTGTTTGAAAGGCAGACACACACACGTATACAGAGACAAGAGATCTTCCATCTGCTGGTTCACTCCCCAAATGCCTGAAACAGTCAGGTGTAGGCTAGACCAAAGCTGGGAGCTAGAACTCCATCCAGGTCTCTCCGGTGGGTGACAGGGACCCAACAACCTGAGCCCCCACCTGCTGCCTCCCAGGATGTGCGTTAAGAGGAAGCCGGAATCAGATGTGGAGCTGGGACTCGAACCAGGCTCTCAGATACGTGTGTTTCAAGTGGCCTCTTACCCACTGCTCCACACACCCGCCCAGCCACCGCTTCCTGCCTCACCGTGCACAGAGCACTCGGCTCACTCCCAGCGGCTGCTCTCAAGGCGAGGCAAGGCCAGGCTCCTCTGGGCTTAGCTCACAGGCCTTGCCCTTCTTCCCTGTCGCCCTAATTCTGTGTCTGGGGAAGTTCTCGATCTCTGGGCGGAGTGGAGCAGAAGGGAGGATGTCCCCGGTGCTGCCACGGAGCAGGAAAGGGCTCAGCAGTAAGACCAGGACGCTGAGGCTTGTGGGAGAGACCCAGAGGTAGGAAAAAAGTTGGAAGGGTAAGACGAAGACAGTGGGGTCTCCTCGGGCAGGGGCCTGGGGCGTGGGAAGTTTGTCCCGTAGAAGCAGCCTGTCAGCCAGCAAAGACTGGCAGGGGTTTGGTCAGAGGTCCAGCCTTAGGAGCAGGCTTGGGGTGCCTGATTCAAATCCCCCATTTTTCAGATGAGGGAAAACTGAAACCCAAGGAGGGACCGTGTCCTCTTGAGGTCACACAGCTGGCTGGAGTCAGAGCCGGGGAGTGGCTCTGATGTCCCCCTGGGCCCTCTCCTGCCTCCATCAACTGCTGTCCACTTTCTGGGAGAAGAGGGACCCAGCACTCACTGGGGGCCAAGCACGTGGTACTGTTACTGGGTTACTGGGATGTCATGGAATGGAACGGAAACGGCGTGGGCAGCAGGAAGCAGTGGAAAGCACCCGATGGCTGTGTGGACAAGCCCTTTCAGCTCGCTGGGCCTCAGTGTCCTGCTCTGTCTACTGGGATGATAACAAAGCCTGTCTCCCGGCACTGTGATGAAGACAGATTGTAATTATGAATACAAACGCCTTTGTTGGCCGGCACCGCGGCTCACTTGGTTAATCCTCTGTCTGCAGCGCCGGCACACGGGGTTCTAGTCTCGGTCAGGGTGCCAGATTCTGTCCCGGTTGCCCCTCTTCCAGGCCAGCTCTCTGCTGTGGCCAGGGAGTGCAGTGGAGGATGGCCCAAGTGCTTGGGCCCTGCACCCCATGGGAGACCAGGAGCAGCACCTGGCTCCTGGCTTCGGATCGGCGCAGCACCGGCCGTGGCGGCCATTTGGGGGTGAACCAACGGAAGGAAGACCTTTCTCTCTGTCTTTCTCTCTCTAACTCTGCCTGTCAAAAAAAAAAAAAAAAAAAAAAAGCCCCAAAAACAAAAACAAAAACCGCCCTTGGTGAATACCCATATGGCTGACTTTATCAGTTCAGCTAAGTTACAGGTAGGGGAATGCAGGTGCTTTGGATTTGGGGATTTTTCAGATTTTGGAATATTTGCATAGATGAATACATAATGACACAGCTTGAGGATGAGACCCAAATCTAAACACAGGAGACCAGGCGTGAAGTGCTCCACACGTGACACCAGCTCAGGACTCAAGTGTCAGTTTTTGGGCGCGTTTGGGATTTCAGATTTTTGGGATTAGGGAAGTCAACTTTCAGTGCGTAGCAGGCACTCACTGTAGGTATCTTTTGTTGAGCGAGTCAGCCTGATGGGAACTAAAAGGTCCATAAGCCCTTGAGTGTGGCCCTCATCTGTGTGCAGTGTGCACCTGCAGGTGGAGGGAGTAAAAGCCTCGACTTCATTACGATGTTACCCAAGAGCAGGGGCACCTCCCATGGTCACCCCTGAACTCAGACTGACTCATCTCAGCCATCACTCGACAGGTTGGGAAGGAGGACAGGTGAAGTTTGATGAGTAAAATTGCTGTCTGGAGCACTGTGCCCTATCTCACACCCACACTCACACACACACACACACACACACACACATAACAAAGCCTGTCCCCCGGCACTGTGATGAAGACAGATTGTAGCTGGCGCCACGGCTCAATAGGCTAATCCTCCACCTAGCGGCGCCGGCACACGGGGTTCTAGTCCTGGTCAGGGCGCCGGATTCTGTCCCGGTTGCCCCCCTTCCAGGCCAGCTCTCTGCTGTGGCCCGGGAAGGCAGTGGAGGATGGCCCAAGTGCTTGGGCCCTGCACCCCATGGGAGACCAGGAGAAGCAGCTGGCTCCTGCCTTCGGATCAGCGCGGTGCGCCGGCCGCAGCGCGCCAGCCGTGGCGGCCATTGGAGGGTGAACCAACGGCAAAAGGAAGACCTTTCTCTCTGTCTCTCTCTCTCACTATCCACTCTGCTCGTGGGGAAAAAAAAAAAAGACAGATTGTAATTATGAATACAAACACCTTTGTTGGCCAGCACCGCGGCTCATTTGGCTAATCCTCTGCCTGCGGCGCCGGCACCCCGGGGTTCTAGTCCCGGTCGGGGTCCCAGCAGATTTCAGTTTTCCCTCATCCAGCAGGGCAAGGCGGGGCAGTGGCAGCCCATTGGTGAGTCATGGGGATGTGGTGCAGTGTGTGGGCCCCAAGAGTCATCCTGGTCAGTTCTGGGGGAGCATGGTGGGGAAGGAGTGGTAAGGAGGAGGTGGGAGCTCCTGGTGGGGACAAGGGGGCTGCAGCCCCACCTTTGCCACACTCAGGTGCACACACCCAGGGCTCAAGTTGGGAAGTACTCCAGGGCCCCATCACATGTAGACCTCATCGCTGAGCAAAGCAGCTGCAGTCCCCATGACCCCCACCCCACTGGCTCCAAGTCCCTCTCCGCCCTCTCCTCACATGGTCGCAGGTACACCTTGGGGATGAGAACTCACCTACAGTGGCTACCATGCCTGGGGAGAAGCAGTCCTCACAGAACCTCCTCAGGAAAGACGTCTTGCCCACGGCGGAGTTGCCCACGAACACAATCTTGAAGAGCCGGTCTGGCGTGGATGGGTAGCGCTCCTCCTGTGGGAGGCACGCAGTCTGGCCAATGGCTGGCCATGGCCGCTGCTCCTGCTCTATCCACAGCCCACCCTCCTCTTGTCCCCTTGGTGGTCCTGGGCTCCCCATCAGCAGCAGGCTAAGACGTAAGACGGCTCCTCTGTGTCGCGTAGGTGGACACCTCCCTGATTAGGAGGGAGCCTCTTACTTCTGCCCCATCACCCAAAGCCTGGGCCCAGGGTGGGACACTCTCGCCTCCCTGCACAGGGCTCACATCTCAGCATCGCCACCTTCCTGGGGCCACTGAGGTCAGACAGTGTCCACTCAGGAACCTGGGACCCATGCCCCCTGCCTTGCAGGGCCAGCTGCAGAGGGAGGGAGCTGGGTGGCGTCAGTGTCCCCAGCGGGCAGGGCCTTTAAGGCCCAGGAGGGGAATGAGGCTGTTCCAGGGCACAGGGAGCAGGAGGTGGAGGACGGAGCTGACTCTTCAGCACAGGGATGCTCACCCACCTGGACCCCGCCTGCAGGCCTAGCTCAGCTCTGCCAGGTCAGCTGAGGAGGAGGCTTTGGAATCTATTTAAAAGTGGATTTGGGCGAATTAGCTCCCATCGTTGAGCAAATATCATAATGCAGCGACAGCTGATATTAGCAGTGTTGAGTTTCAGGGGAAGTCATTAACAGGCTTTTGGGGAGGAATCAATGCCACGCAGTTCTTAGGAGGAATTCAAGGTCAACTACAGGAATTTAAATTAAAATTAAAAATAATTTTAAAAATTCCACACATGGGCCGGTGCCGCGGCTCACTAGGCTAATCCTCCGCCTTGCGGCGCCAGCACACCGGGTTCGAGTCCCAGTCGGGGCGCCGGATTCTGTCCTGGTTGCCCCTCTTCCTGGCCAGCTCTCTGCTGTGGCCAGGGAGTGCAGTGGAGGACGGCCCAAGTGCTTGGGCCCTGCACCCCATGGGAGACCAGGAGAAGCACCTGGCTCCTGCCATCGGATCAGGGCGGTGTGCTGGCCGCGGCAGCCATTGGAGGGTGAACCAACGGTAAAGGAAGACCTTTCTCTCCGTCTCTCCCACTGTCCACTCTGCCTGTCAAAAAAAAAAAAAAAAAAAATTCCACACACAGCTATCTCCCATCCCTCTTTCTTTATCTATACACTGCACACTCTGTAGCCTCTTGTCTCTGTACCTCTAATTGCCATTTGTTTCAGACTATAACTTGGGGCACCAATCTGTTTATCCCCGGGCCCAGCGAAGGGGTGGGGAATGTGAAACCCTAGATAAGGGAAGAGGGTCCTGGTGGCAGAGGTGCTGCCTGACCCTGAGACCTGTCACCACTGACCCCTTCCTTGGGTAGAGCATTTTCTGAAAAAAATTTTGCACAAAATGTAAACCCTTCGATGGTTCAGTATCAGGCAGAACTCATGGCATCAGAGCAGGGAACTCCTATTTGTGTCCGTGCACTTAACCTGCCATCCCTGTGAGGGTGCACCTGCCTTGTGAGGGGCAGGGGAGGGGCCGGGAACAGGAACCCTGGGCTGCCTCCTCAGGTGCATTCTCAGCTTCCCTCCCTACGTGCTTTAATTTAATAAGCCTTCAAAAATAAAATTAATACATGCTAACTTCTAAGGTTAGAAAACAGAAAAATAGAGAGGAAAATAATAATTATTTGTAATGTGCCCTGTCACTGTTCATGCTTTGGTCCTTTCCTCCAGTCTCTTCTGTAAGCACGAGGGTGGTTCAAAAATTTTGTGGAAAAATGGAATTAAGAGGTAGTTTATTTTTGGTGCAAAAAAAATTGAAATCCATGCATACGTGGGTTCTTCAGAAATTTCATGGAAAATGTGTATTATGGGGGCCGGCACTGTGGCACAGTAGGTTAAAGCCCTGGCCTGAAGCACCGGCATCCCATATGGGCACCAGTTCGAGACCCGGCTGCTCCTCTTCTGATCCAGCTCTCTGCTGTGGCCTGGGATAGCAGTGGAAGATGGCCCAAGTCCTTGGGCCCCTGCACCCGCGTGGGAGACCCGGAGGAGGCGCCTGGCTCCTGGCTTCGGATCGGTGCAGCTCCAGCCATTGCAGCCATCTGGGGAGCGAACCAGCAGATGGAAGACCTCTCTCTCTCTACCTCTTTCTGTAACTCTGTCTTTCAAATAAATAAAACTAAATCTTAAAAAAATAAAATAAAATGTGTACTATGAATGAATTTCAACATTTTCATGTTAAAAGAATCTTTGAATTCCATTTTTTTCCACGAACCCTTTGAAGTACTATAGGACATATGTTAACTAAAGAAATTTAAGATGTATCTCAAATTGATTTTATCCTACTTTACCATACATTACTAAATTACATATATTTCTCTGAGTCATTAAGCTTTTTGTAACTGTGATTTTTTTTTCACAGCTATGTAATATTCTATTACATTAGTACACCACAACTTAGGTCCCTACCATAGGTTTTTCCAATTGTTTGCCATTATAAAACAGCAGAGAGCCTTGAGTTGAATCTTGATCTGATTTTGGTTATTTCCATGGGAAAAACTGCTAGAAGCGCCCAGTATTCTTACTTTCTTGGTTCATCTCATCTAACAACATCCCGGAAGAGTTGGGCCCATCCATGCCTCGTGGTGGGGGTGGAGGGGTTGCCTCACAGGAGCCTGGCAAAGAGCGGGCCTGCCTGGGAGCTGCCACAGGGCTTCCGGGTGACCTGTGTCCTGTCTGCTTCAGTTTCTGTTCCCAGCAAAACGGCAACAGAGCGTCACGGAGCCAGCACAGATGCAAGATAGCGTGGCGGGAAGGGCCGGGCTCCACGTCCCTGGGGGCTGGCCAGGCTGCCCCCTGCTGGGCTTCTGTTTTTCTATCTGTCCACAGGAGCACCTGCTGCTGGGCCCCCTCTGATGACCGTGACCGTGAGAGTGAGATGCTGCAGCAGACATGGCGCCTTGCCACTCTCCTTGTCCCTGTGGCCTACCAACCCCTTGACACTTCTCTCCCGTTGCGGTGGTGTTTATGACCTATTTGCGCCCACTGAGAACCAGGGTAGTTGTGTGCATTGAAGGGGGTAAAGGGTGGGGACCCCTCACTTCCTCTCTGTGCCAGAGACCTTCAAAGGGGTGACATGCAGGCATGAACCTTAATCCTGCCCAAGGCAGACGACCTATACCCAGAAGCCCCAGTTGCGGCTCCCCTGCAAACACAGCCTCTGGGGAAAGTGCAAGGTGGCGATGGCTGCGTCCTAAAGAGCAGCCACGGGGTGAGGGAGGAGCCTCTTTCACAGGCTTGTTGCCCAGGGTCAAGTGGAGGATGAGGTCACAAGGTGAGGACCAAGGACAGACTTTCCTATGGTCTCCTTTGGCCCTGTAGAACTTAGCAGAGAGACCCTGCAGGGAGAACAGGGTTACACGGAATGGAGAAAGAGGTGGGAAGCTTGGAAACGCCAAGAGTGATTAGCTGATGAAGAACCAAGACAAAGGCGGGTGTTTGGCCAAGCAGTTAAGATACTGCTTGGGAAACCTGCGCCCCATAGAGGACTCCCGGCTTTCACACCCCAGCTCTGCTTCCCGTGCAGTGCCTGCGAATGTGCTCCCTGGAGGGCAGCAGCTGATGGCTCTGGTGGTTGAGTCCCTGCCACCCACATGGAAGACCCACACTGAACTCCCAGCTCCTTGACTTGACCAGGCACAGTCCTGCTGACTGGGGACATTATGGAGTGAACCAATGGGTGGAATTGCTTTGTCTGTCTCTCAGCTTTTCAGATAAATAAAAGCAGTACTTTGAAAGATGAAAAGGAGAGTAGAGAGAGCCTCCAGCCCCTGGCTCCCTCCCTATGTGGTTGAAATAGCTGGGGGCCAGGGCAAGTTGAAGCTAGCAGCCTAGAACTCCATTTGGGCCTCTCACATGAACGGCAGGGGTCCAAGTACCTGGGCATTTCTGCTACTTTCCCAGTACATAAGCAGGGAACTGGATCACAAGTGGAGCAGCTGGGATCTGAACTGGCGCTCTTATGGGATGTCAGTGTTGCAGGCAGTGACTGAACCCTGTGGGCCACAATGCTGGCCCCCAAAGCAATAGATTTTTAAAAAAATGTTAAAAAGGACCAAGAGAAACATGATGGCACGCAAACATTCGCAAGCAAAGACTGGCCCTGCTGAGAGCAGTGACAGCGTGGGAAGCCGTAAAAGCATCTGACACTCTGCTCAGAGCCTTGATGAGGGTCAGTCTTAAGTGGGTGCTCAATCAGGGCTTTGGGACTTGAGTCAGGAAAGCACAGAATATGGAATGGGACAAACAGAAGAGGCTAGAAGACTTTATCAGGACACCAGGACGCTCAGACAGGCAGGGAGAGGTGGCATTTGTAAGACACAAATAGGCGGCATCCCAACACCTGCCACATCTGACCTCCTTGGTGCCCCTTGGGAATATGGGTCTCAAAGACAAAGGCAGATCCCAGGCGTGATGTCTGCGAGCCAATGAGGTATGCACCCCTACCTTGATGAGGGCTTCTTTCCCCACAGGCTGCCCTCGGGGAGACGTGGGGGTGACCTCCAAGGGGGAGGCCTGCTGGGTCCCGCCGTCCGCTCCCTGGTGAGAGCCTTCCTCTTCCTCTGGGCACTGGCCTAGGGGCTGCTCAAAGCCCGCCTGCAGGAGCTGCGGCATGGGGTCTTCTTCAATGGAGATGATTCTGCGGAGCCGCCGGGCGTGCCCAGTCCCCAGCTCCCCCAGTCCTGGCTCCTCTTCTGTAAGGGGATACACGCTCAGCCCCAGAGAGCTTCTCCTCCTGGGAATGCCAAACACATCGTCCTCCTCCTCTGACTGGCTGCTGCGTGGGGAAGAAAGAAGCACGGAGGACATCACCCAGGGCAGCAACACGAGGACAGACGCCGCCGTCGGCTCCTGTGTCCAATACGCTTACCCCAAGTGCCTGCCGGTGAGGACTGCCAGGTATTAACTAAAGAAATCACAGACATTGTCCCGGCCCCAAGGGACGTTCCACTGAGGGGGGACCAAAGCAACAGTGACACGCTCACACAAAAAGTCGTTTTTACAGATAACGAGAGGGCTGTGAAGGAGAAGCAGAAGAGTATGCACGCAGACTTGTCGAGAAAGCACCTGCTGTGCCCCCAGGGCCGGCCCTCATTAACTGTGTGTCCTTGGGTAAGAGCCTTCAACTTGTCAGGTCCCAAGACCACCCTGCCCCTGTCCCATCTGCCCTGCCCGCTCAGAAATGAGACACGGGTGCAAGCAGACACAGCGTGAGCGTGAGCGTGAGCATGAGCAGTACGCTGCTCTGGGAAGACCCTCCTTCAGCGCACAGCCGGGGTCCACTGGCTCAGCTGCCCCCTTGCAGAGCGGACAGGCATCGGGGTCGGAAGGAAGCCAAGTCGGGCATCTCCACCCACCGCTCCTTCGCCATGTCCTCGGGAGCCAGAGTCAGCCCTGAGTAGTCTTGCAAGCCTACGTGCGTCCTTGCTGCGAGATGCATCTGCGCACCAAGAGCCAGGAGCAGCGGTAGGAGGGGGAGGGGGAGGGACAGCTGCAGGGAGGACCCGTGCCCTGGGTGTGTGTTCAGAAGGTCCAGAGCGCCCAGGCCTCACAGGTCCCTCTGAGCACACAGCTCCCCGCCGGGTCTGGGTGAGCCACTAAAGCTCCAAATGGTCTTAAGGGAACGGGAGCTTTACAGGGAGGGCCTCAGGTCCCAGACGGAAACACACGTGGGTGAGAAAAGAGAGTGGGCTGGCAGTGAAGTGGAGAGGTGAGGGACCCACAGGAGAGAGAGAATGGAAGAAGGACACAGGCTGCAGGCTGGAGGGACACTCTTTATTTTGCCCTCTGCTTATAATACGTCTCACTGCTAAGGACAGTAGGAAGGAAAGAGAAAATGAGTGCATCAGCATGCCAAATTTAACTGCAATTCTGAACAATAAATTAAAATACTGTGCTTGCTCACAAAAACAGTGGATTGGTTTGGATCCCTGGATATAAAATATAGCATTAGTAGCAAGTTAAGCAGCTTTCTCTTATAAAATCCCAGTTTTTAATAAAAGCTAAATGTCTTCTTTCCAACAAACTTCCTATATATTCTGTCAAGTCTATTAACTGCTTATCTGCTTCAGCCCACAATTGGCAGGGCCAGCATCGTGGTGCAGCATGTTAAGCTGCCGCTCGCGGAACTGGCATCCCATATTGGAGCGTTGGTTTGAGTCCTGGCCACTCTCTGCTTCCAATTCAGGTCCCTGCTAATGTGTCTGGGAAAGTAGCAGAAAATGGCCCATGTACTTAGGCCCCTGCCACGCACAGGGGAGGCCTAGATGGAGTTCCTGGCCCTTGGTTCAACCTGGACCAGCCCAAGCTGTTGCGTCCATTTGAGGAGTCAACCAGTGGAACCAGTGGATAGAAGATCTCCCTCTCTCTCTCCTTTTCTCCCTTTCTTCCTCCTTCCCTGTCTCCCCTGCCCCCCACATTCTGCCTGTCAATTAAATAAATAAATAAGTAAATAAATATTTTTTAGAAAAGAACACAACTAGTAGTCCTATCCATTTTCTCCCTGATTATTCACACAAGAGTGAATATTTGTGTGCACAAGTGAGCAAGTATCTGCACCCACAGCAGGTTTTTCCCCTAGGGCTTTGCGGCCAGAAGAAGAAATAGCCACTTAAGCCCTAAAATGAAGCATTTCTTGGAAACAAATGCTTTACATGGATAATTTTCCAGCACTACTGACATTCTGTAATACTTTCAACTTAGCACGACTAAGTTCGTTCTTTATTTTGTCGCCAATGCTGTATGCCAGCAGTAGAAAGTACGGCTACTTTTGCCAAAGCCTGTATTGGAATTCAAGGGCTCTAAATGTGTTGCTTACTTGATTAGGGTCTGTTTCTTCCACTCAGCTATAATCTCATGAAACAGAAATGGGTCCTCTCCGCCTGCCCTGGCACGTTCCAGCACACAGCACAGGACCTCGCACATGGTAAGTACTCAACAAACGTTTATCAAGGGAGCATTCAACAATGGACGCTAATGACAGGGCACACGCCCGGTTTGTCTTCGGAGCTTTACAGAGCTCAAAAGAATGTCTGAGACCGAATAGGTAATCAGCAAGCGCCTGCTGAGTCAATCAATCAGTAAATACGTTCTGTTCGCAGGAACCAACAGGCCAAATACTACTGTGCAGAAATTTGGCTGCCGAGTTCTATCTCATTATTCAGCTAGTTGGAGAAGGAATGCATGACGATCAGGCCCAAAGATTTTACTGATGAGCTGAATCACACTGCCATTGCGAATCTTTTGATTTCATGCTTGCAGTCCTACAGGATCAAGTTAACACATTTTTCTCCCCAAGTCTGACACTTAGGGTCCGGCTGCCTCTCTCTGCCTGGGGCCATCCATGTGGATGGAAGGCACACCGGCAGTCGGGGCGGGGGGCTGGGTTATCTCTGAATGCGCGAGGAGTCAACCTCTTGGGTGCTCGAATTCAACCGCGTGCTGTTCAGCAGCTAGGGAACGTGTTCTCTCTGCGTTAACTGAGCACGAGTCACTGACACGATCTGCCAAGCACAGGCCACAGTCGTGTCTGTAAAACGAGTCCAACTGCTGGAGATTCCACGTGACTCTGCGAGGCCCTTCCCGAGCCAACAGTCACATTCCTGAAAAACCGCGTGCATCCCTTCTGCCCTGCAGAGGTCAGAGGGCCATCGGCCACACACCCCTCCCTCCGTCTCTCCCCTGATCGGCTCCTCCTCTGTCCTCTGCAGAGCTTCAGCGCCCCTTCCAGGCCTCTGCACGCACACAGGTGGGTGGAGTGACCTCCGAAGACAACAACCTGCCCTAGGGGATCGCTCTGCGCAGTCCCCGTCTTGTTTGCATGTCAGGAGAGGGTAGGGCATGTCCTCCAAGGCTCAAGGGGAGTCAGTGCAGCCGGAACTCAAACTCGGGCCTCCCACCCAAGGCCAGCTCTCCAGGGTGCACCTGCACCGAGCATGGGCTCACAGCCAGCTCCCCCTGCAGGGGGGATGGGTAAGTGCAAGAACAAATGGGTGATGACTTACCTTCGGAGAGCCCCTTTGCAGTCCATGTATTTGCCTATCACAGAGCCGGATCTCTGTTTCCAGCTTGCCTTGGAAGCCGCTGTGTTTGCCTTGGCTGCCTTATCTTTCTGTAGAAACACAAAAGTCCCAGAGATCCAGGCCTGCTGATTTGCCCCAGTGTTGTAGCAGAAAAGGGCCCATGGTTCCCACCTCCTAGGTCAGGCTCTCAGAGAACCCTAAAGCAAGTCGGCAGTGACCTGGTCTCCCTGTTAGCATTCACCCACACATCCTTTTACCGTCATCCCTCACCAGAACCCCTCAACTGCCTTCCTAATAATCTAATCAAATGAACAGAGGAGAGCCTTTGTGCCACCACGGGATGCTACGCAGGGGCACTGAGAATTTGCTGGAGGGCAGAGAAGAAGAGATCAAGGCTTAATGCCTGGGAGAAATATTTATAAGCATAAAAGCTTTTGTGCATCTTAAACTCTGACTCTTCTGCGTGTCTCTAATCACTTATCTTCAAAGCCCCAGATATAAGGGAAAGAAGACCAGCCCAGAGGATCAATTAACCCAGTGCCCTGTCCAGAGCTTCCAGGCTTGTATCAGGTGTATCAGGCTGAGTGCAGAAATACTGCTCCAACATTGGTAGCAGAGAAGCGGGGTGGAGCAGGTCCTCCCAGTCCCCTTGCAATGCTCCCTAACAGACGTCATCCAGGAGATGGTGGGGTGGGGGAGTGGATCACGAGAAGAATCTCTCGTGGATCAGACAAGGGAAGGAGGCGAGGCCATGCTCCCAGGGCCCCTGCAGCTGTGGCTGTGAGGCTGCCACATGAATCTTTAATTATTACCCAGCGTCGAGGTGATCTGATCCCTTTTCTTTGATTTCCCCAGTGGCGTTCTTAATTCCACCCCCTTCCGAGGCAGACTGAGTTTGGCAGCTGAAGGGGAGCGCGGTGAAGTGATTAGGGTGACATTGGGTTGGAAGTTCTAAAATGAAGTTGGTGTTGTTTCTAAGACAATTACAACCATTGTCATCATCAAGCAAACATGTGTAGGCTGAAGTCTCACTCTCGCAGCACACATGGGTAGGTGGCAGCAATGTTTGCTGCCGGTCAGCGACATCAAAGAAACGATGGCAGAACAAGATCCAACAGGGAGCTCAGTTACAAACCAAGTCGGGCCTAATTTAGGACAAACCAGCTGCCTTATGTGATCATATTTATGTGGCTGCTAAGCTAAGGGTCTGGTGCATAGTGTCCTTTTTCTAAAAGTCTTCCTCAAAAATCCTTATAATATGCGGGAGGTGACAGGATTCCTTTTCCTCAAGTGACAGCTGGGGACTTTGTCCCAGGACACACAGGGGGCCCGAGGTCTGATAATCCTTCGATTAGGAAGTTGGACCCATTTTCCTTCCCTGCAGGGCAGCCAACAGCTCTTGTCTGAAGGGGAAGATGACTGGGGGAGTGCAGGATTCTAGGTTTTGTTAAGTGTGGGCCACATGTTTAAGTGTGACCTCCACTTAAACATGAGATTTTGTGTTATTTGGGACAAGTATATGGTCATGGTACTCATGTATAGATGATAAAATCAGCTATGTAAGTAGTGGGAGATTCACATCTTTAATTTGTTCCATGAGAGTATAGAAACGCAGAATTTCCATCGATAGAAAAAAAATGTAATGAAGAGAAGAAACCTGAATATGTTGATGTAAAAGTGATAAGGGCATTTCAACTGTGCCGTCTCATGGGTAGAACTATCATTTATGCATCCAAGAAACACTTCAGTCCTGTGGGGCAGAGAGAAATGTGCACTACTTCCTGGAAAAGTAACTGTCCCAGTAGGCTATTCTGCATCTTGATCATCTCGGGCTATTGTCCTGCCCACACAGAAAGTATCAAATGTATCCCGATTGTCAGCGCATTCTTGGGCCAGTCCCAGCACAGACCTGGCTGCCCCTGGGCCCCAGTCCTTGTCTCCCACTGCTTCTGCCCCCTAGCAAATACCAGCCAATTACCTGGAAACGTATGTCCCGTTCATCTCGCAGGTGCTTATTTCTTTCCCTGTGAACAGTAAAGGGGAATCTATTCAGACACGGTGGACAGATCCAAGAGCAGCCAACCTGCCAGTCAGACGGGTACAAGGGAAGGTAGAGGGTGGAAGGCTAGCAGGTGTGTGGAATCTCCATCCTTGTGGGTGTGGCTTACACTGGATGATAGTTTGTGTGCCAGTCAACGGCAGGGGGATAGACAAAATGGCTTTGTGATCCATAGCTCTTCAGGATCACTTCCTCATTGGTTCATTCCTGTAGTGACAATTGCCTGCTTCCCTAACAGCTCCATGGAATGAAAGAGCATCTGTCTCACAGGGAAGGGATGCTCAGGAAAGCCAGGTCCACTCCTGCTGGACCAAGGACCAGGCAAGGGACTACGGGAACCACAGAAGAAGGCGGCAGAACCTCCCCAGAAAGAGGGATGGACTGAGTGGGACGTGGGTGTGGGTGTGAATGGACAGCACAGTGCGGTCCCCAGCGCACGGTGGGGACCAGGAGGCTGAGGGTGCCCTCGCGGCCGCCATGCTTTCCCAGTGTGTAGGCAGGGAAGACCCTCTCTCAGATTGGGCCCCTCCAACCTGAGGCTCAGGGCCGTGTTCCCAGAGCACACCCGGGGCCACGCACCTTAGGAAATCCAGCTGCTTCAGGAGCCCGGACTTCTCCCGCTGCAGACTCTCGGTCACGCGGTACACTTCCCTGTGGGGGAGGCAAACAGCACGGTGAGGGTGAGTGGCTCTGGGGGTCGGGGGAGAAGAAGGAGAGCCACAGGGTGCGAGGTGCTGAGCTGCACGTGGGTGGCTGGGACCGCTTCCACGGAAAACCAGCAGGAGAGGCCTACACTGCGGATGGAGTGGGTCAGAGGAAGATGGCTTTCGCCGGAGCACACCTGCTGTGTGCAGGTGCATCCAGACAGTTATCTCAGTCAGCCCAGGAGCCTACTGGGAAGGTGCAGTTGTCCCCACTGAACAGAGGCTGACAGTCAGACGCTCACGAACTGTGCTCGGGTCACACAGACCATCCACACGGAGCCAGGTTCCTCACCTGGGCCTCCTACCCACCCAAACCTGTTCATTCCACAACCCCCCCAACCCCGCCCCGCCCCACAGATGCTGCTGGATGACCAGGGGTCTGCCTTCCCGGGCTCCAAGTGACCAGGGATCAGTCAATGTTCTGTTGGAGAGTGGGAGGGTTTGTGTTTCCCCTTCACATCCACGCTGGCTTGGTCTGTTCAATTCTCCCAGACCCCCAACATGGTTTAAACAGTTTGGCTTCCAGATTCCTGGAGATGTTTCAACTTAACCCAATTATGGTGTCTAGGAGACCGGCCTAGTGGGGCCCTGGGGTCACTGAGTATGTGACCCCCAAGGTCAGTCCCCATGAGACGGGAGTTATAAACGCCTGAGTTTGTGCCGAGCCTCCCTCTGCTTCCTGGCTCACCACGTGGCTCGTCCTCCACTCCCACTCTGCCACTGCCATCCGCCACCCTCAGCAGATGCCAAACCAATGGCACAGCCCAATCTTGGGCTCGAACCTCCAACGCTGTGGGCTAAATGATCCCCTTTTCTTCATAAGTAGCTTGTCGCAGGGATTTTGTCACGGTAACAAAATCTGACAAACCCACTCCCAGGGTTCCCACCAGTTCCTAGACAGCTGCCATGTCCACCGCTGGATGGTCACTTCTTTGACCAGAGTTCTAATTTCTGCCTGGAGGGGGGAGGTGGAGGAGCCAACTGTAATCAGCGATTTACATCACAGTGCAAGGTGTTGGTCACAGCAGGAGTTCGAGGAGGGTGAGGGAGAGGGTGAGAGGCTGTTGCACAGTGTGACTGGAGGGTAACCTAGACCGGGAGGCAGGGGCTGAGTCCTGGACACTCGGCGCAGCAGCTGGCGTGGAGGCCTGGTCCACGGACAGCAGCAGCAAGATGGCAAGGAGAGAGGCCGTCAGGGCGGGGGAGGGGGAGGGGGAGGGGAGGAAGGAGGGAGAGAGGGAGGGGAACGGAGGGTCAGGGAGTTCTTCAGCACCGTGCAAGGAAGACAGGGAAAGACGACAAAACTCCACGCAGAGTTGGCAGCCACAGGGAAACTTGCTTCATTCCAAGACTCTGCCTCCGTCTTTGCCTCGGTTTGCGGCGCCACGGTTTAGAAATTTCGATCTTTTCAACAAATGGTTCCACATATCTAAACCTCAGCACACCTTTTAGGGTAGGGAGCCTCTGAAAGCCCGAATGACACACGGCTGCCCGCATGCTGTCAGGGCTGCCCAGCAGGTGCACAAGGACAGCCCCTGCTCTGCCCACCCCCAGCCACGCGGCTCCTGAGCACAGCATCCACGTCCACGGGCGCCTCCGCCGAGCTCCTAACACTCAGATTCCTTAACAGCTGTCTGCATTTCTCTTCTTTGGTCCTCTTCATAGAATAATTATGAAGTCACTTTACGACAATAACAGACTGAATCCAATTCCAGCTTCACCTTAGACAATCCTAATTAAGCAACAAAATTTCTCCAGCTCCTGCAGAGCTGCGAATTCCCGACATTTTATTACCAATTATATTTAATTTCAACTTTGCGGGAAAACAATGTATTTCCCATTATCCAAACTGGGTCCTCAACCCCCATGTATGAGGTTGTTCTGATTAGCAGCAGGGGGGAGGGGGGGCGGGGGCGGGGGACGTGAAGAGGTGGAGGGGGTGGGCAGAGCTGCCTGTTCTCATGCTGTGTGCTGGGAGCTGAAGGCTGCTCCCTCCTGGCCATCTCACGCTCCTGCCCCAGCCCCGGGCCTGCTTCTCTAAGCAGCAGGGAGCAGCCAGCTTTTCCCTGATAAGGAAAATCCTTCACGGGCAATCCCAGGTCTGGGTTCTCACAGTGCTAGACTGAGTGGCCAAATCTGACACAGCAAGGCATTCCACACCTCTGGCCCTGTCCACTCTGCACCTGTTGACTACTAGAAAGATACAAACACATACGTGCACATACGTGTTCCATAGGTGCAAATACATGTATATCTATTTGGATTTTTGGACACGAGGGTATTGCAAAATGTTCATGGAAATGGAATGAAGAGATGTTTATTTTGGTGCAAAAAACTAAATCCATGCCTAATTTTGTCATATACACATTTTCCATGAATTTTTTGAAAACCCCTCATATGTACGGATTTCAAATTAAACTTATCTCTTAAAAAAGATTGATTTATTTGATAGGCAGAGTGATAGAGAGAGACGAAGAGATAGAGAAAAAGATCTTCCAGCCTCTGGTTTGCTTCCTAAATGGTTACAACACTCAGGGCTGGGCCAGACTGAAGCCAGGAGCCAAGAACTCCATCTGGGTCTCCCACCTTGGTAGCAGGAGTCCAGGCACTTGGGCCATCTTCTACTGTCTCCCCAGGCACATTAGCAGGGAGCTGGACTGGCAGCAGAGGAGCTGGGACTTGAACCGGTGCTCAAATGGGATGCCGGCGTCGCAGGCCGCAGCTTAGCCCTCTGAGCCAGCAGCTGGCCCCAAACCTTATTTTCTAATTCCATTTTCGGGCCGGCACTGTGGCTCACTTGGTTAATCCTCTGCCTTGCGGTGCTGGCATCCCATATGGGTGCCAGTTCTAGTCCCGGTTGCTCCTCTCCCAGTCCAGCTCTCTGCTGTGGCCCGGGAGGGCAGTGGAGGATGGCCCAACTGCTTGGGCCCCTGCACTCGCATGGGAGACCAGGAAGAAGCACCTGGCTCCTGGCTTCAGATTCACACAGCGCCGGCCATAGCGGCCATTGGAGGGTGAACCAACGGAAGGAAGACCTTTCTCTGTCTCTCTCTCTCACTGTCTATAATTCTACCTGTCAAATAAATAAAATAAAATAAAATAAATTCAATTTTCCATGAACTTTTGGAAGAACCCTCGTGTATGTACAGAATATATGTCTTCCTCATGCTCACAAAGGCCTTTCTGAAGACACAGGACATTGCGTATCAGATGGAGTGGCCACTGAGATCCTTCTGCACATAGTGGGTTGATGGAAACCAAGAGACAGAGAAGCTGCTGGTTTTAAAGCTGTTGCCTGTGGGAGGTTTATGATTCAAGAGCCGTCAAGGAACTGCTGTGGGCTTTGTCTTTAGGAGAGGGATGAGGCATGGAACGCTCTAGAAAATAAGACTGGCAAGAGAAATCGCAAAACAAGTGAGGAGAGCGTGCTTGCTGTGCTGCTACTGTGTAGGGAAAACCGAGCGGCGTGCATGCACACGTGTGCTTGTGTGTACACAGCACACTCTGGAAGGAGCCCCGGAAGCAGTGACCGCTGCCCTCTGGGTGTCTGGGACCCCGGGGCGTGGCGGGGCTGCAGACCCCTTTTGCGCTGTTTGAATGCTGTGCCTCCCCATAAGCTACCTACTCAAAACAAAAGTGAGAGAAGAAAGAACCAGAGGAGTATTGCTTTTCATCTGACCTTCCTCTGTATATCAGCACCGGCCCTGAGGGCTTTATCTGGCTTTAAAATCTGGTTTTCCTATCTTCAGGGAATAAGAAAATTAATTTTGCCTGTCCAGAATTCTTGCTGATAAACAACTAAGTCTGTTTACCTCCAAACTCCACACTCTCTCCTCCCAGCTGCTCGGGGCGGCAGCAGGCAGCAAGCATGGGAATAGCCAGAGAATGAGCGGCCCTGTTTGCTGCACTAACCAGCTGTGAGGCTGAGGCTGGTCTGCACACCTCTCCGAGCCTCGGAGTCTCCACGACACAACAAAGGGCACGGAGGTGAGCCTGAGGGTCACCTCAGCGGTGCTAGTCTGTGGTCTCATTCATTTTTTGGTTTTTTTTTTTTAGATTTATTTATTTATTCGAAAGGCATTTTAGAGAGGGGGGAGACAGACAGAGATCTTCCATACACTGGTTCACTCCCCAAATGGCCACAACAGCCAGGGCTGGGCCAGGCTGAAGCCAGGAGCCAGATTTTTTTTTCCAGGTCTCCTACATGGGTGCAGGGGCCCAAGCACTTGGGTCATCTTCCTCTGCTTTCCCAGGCTGTTAGCAGGGAGCTGGATCAGAAGTGGAGCAGCCGGGGCTTGAACTGGCACCCACATGGGATGCCGGCACTGCAGGCTATAGCTTAAGCAGCTGGCCACAGCGCCGGCCCCATGTGGTCCCATTCTGCAGGGAAGGGGCTCAGGCTCTCGGGACACTGCTCTCCTGGGCCTCAGCATGGTTCCCAGCTGCACAGCCTTCTCTACAAACACTGCGAAGGTTCTGGAGTCCTATTTCTCTCTCCCCTCCCCCTCCTCTCCAGGTCTAGCCCTGCAGAGACTGTGCGTCTGGCTTGCGTAGTGAAGACAAGCCTGGAGAAGGCTCGGCGTCCTCCGGCTCCAGCACTGGCTGTTGATAGCCCTCTGCTGCCCGAATGCTTGCGCATTCGGATGGTTGCTGCTTTTAGAACCTGACTGCATTTTAAGAGCCTGAATCCTTAATTCTGTTTGTAGAGTTAAACGCCCGTGCCTGGAGGACTGCTCTTAATGAGGAGGAACAGATAGGGCTTGTTGACAGTGAAATACACTGTCCTTCCTCACCTGCTCATCCCAGAAGGAGAACAGCGGGGCTTGGGTTTAAGTCAGCTACTGGGAGTCTTTTTTTTTTTTTTTTTTAATTATTATTTCTATTACTTGAAAGGCAGAGATAGAGATAGAGATAGAGATAGAGAGAGAGAGAGAGAGAGAGAGAGAGAGAATCTTCCCTCTGCAGTTTCATTCCCCAAATGCCTGCAATAGCTGAGGCCAGGCCAAGCCAAAGCCAGGATTCAGGAACTCCATCTGGGTCTCCCATGTGTGCGACAGGGACCCAAGTACTTGCTGTCTCCCAGGTGCATGCTAGGAGGAAGTGGGTTGGAAGTGGAGAAGCTAGGACTAGAACCAGGCACTCCCATGTGGGATGTGGGTATCTCAAGCAGCAAATTAACCTCTGCATCACACATCTACCCCAATATACTCTTTTTAAAGATACTGAGAAGTTTTCTCTTTTAAAAAAAGATTTATTTATCTATTTATTTGAAAGAGCAACAGAGAGAGAGAGAGATAGAGAGAGAACCATTTGTTGGTTCACTTCCTACAACAACTGGGTTTGGGCCAGGCGGAAGCCATGGGTAAGAACTCAATCCAGGACTCCCATGTGAGTTGCAGGGACGCAGGTGCTTCAGCCATTGTGAGATGCCCCCCAGGGTGTGCATTAGCAGGAAACTGGAATGGAAGTAGAGGCAGGACTCCAACCCAGGCGCTCTGATATGGGATGTGGAGGTCCCAAGTGGCAGCTTACCAGCTGCGCCACAATGACCACCCTACTCCTCTTTTAATTAACTGGAGACATCTTACAAAAAAGAAATTCCCAGTTCAAACACAGTTCCTCCCTCTAAGCCAGGTAATAGGTACCAAATGACCCACCATGCCACTCGTGAGCCCAACTAGCATGGCCAAAATCCTGCCAGTAGCCACACAGAGTGAGGACTTTGGCTTCTGAGCAGGCAGAATGAGCCTACGTTAAACATCAAGCGCTGCTAGGTAACGCTGCCCTTCTCCCTGAAACAGACTTCTCGTACCACCTGGCATCGTTAGGGCCCAGACACAATTCCCTTTTGCAGGATGAATGAAGAATGTATGAATGAAAGAGTGAGAGGATGATGGCCAGTCCTACTCCTGTGTAAACACGAGGGGTGGGACAGCGTTGTGGCTCAGTGTGTTAAGCCACCGCTTGCAATGCCAGCATCCCATATCAAAGTGCCTGGGTTTGAGTCCTGGCTGCTCCTCTTCAGATCCGGCTTCTTGCTAATGAGCCTGGAAAGGTAGCAGAAGATGGCGCAAGTACTTGGGTCTCTGCCATCCACATGGGAGACCCCAACGGAGTTCCTGGCTCCTGGCCTTGGCCTGGCCCAGCCCTGGCTATTGTGGCCATTTGGGGAGTGAACCATGCGATGGAAATTCTCTCTCTCTCTCTCTCTCTGTCTCTCTCTTTGTAACTCTGCCTTCCAAATAAATAGATACATCTTTAAAATAAATAAATAAATGTGAGGGGACTTTTTAAAATTCACAGGAAATTTGCATGATCTTTTAATTCCACTTTCCACGAGCGTCTTGAAGCCCCCGGTGTTTTCTGGCTGGCCTATTATTTCTTGGGGGGCGTTAGCAAGACGTGTCTAGCACTTAGCATCTTGGAACAGTTCCTTAAGAGCCTCGGAGCCTCAGCGTCCTCACTTTTAATTAGAGTTGGTAATAGAACCGGCCACAGCAGGATGCTCTAAAGGTCACAACGAGTCGACGTGCGCCGAATGCTCAACACAGGCCCTAGCCTGCAACAGCTTTCAGTAAATGTTTGTCAAATGAATAAGTCACTGAACACACGGATAAATGAACGAGCAAACAGCCGTGGGCCTCAGAGGGCATTTGTCCTCCCAACCTAACACTTCCACTGAAAGACGAGCGGCTGAATGTGCAGAGATTCACCGTGCAGCTCAAGGTGCAGACCCGCTCCCCCTTGGTTCTTGCGCAGGTGTGCCTCAGCCTGTGCCGGCCTAACCCAACAGCGGGCCACCAGAAGCAGTTCACCGGCCAACCAGGGCCACGCTGGGCCACACGGTCTGGACAGAAGTGCGCAGGTCAAACTATCTGTTGACCTGAGGGGACTTCCGGCTGCAGTGTGGTCCCTAAGCTGTGACGGTCGTCGGAGGTGTGTGCGCTCAGTCAGCGTGGTGGTTCACTGACCGCCTCGGTTTCCTGATGGACTAACTCTCCGAGAGCAGGGGTGTCGATCCCAGGCAATGCTTGGCACAGCCTGCTCTGCGCAATAGCCTCAATATCCTAGGAGGGGTCAGAAGAGGACTCGGAGCGATGGGCCCAAGTCCCCCGTCTCATAGGGAGGGGACAGTCTCAGGGAGTGGGGACGCGGCGCCCAGAGCGGAGGCGGAGCTCTGGGACAGCAGAGGAGGGTGCCCGGCCACACTCACATCTCCTTCTCCTGCTGGAGCTGCCAGGCCTCCCGCTGGAGGCCCTCCAGCTGCTGCTGCGCGTCCGCCAACTCCCGCGAGGTCCGCTCCAGCTCGCGGGCCAGCTCCTGGTTGCTGAGTTTCAGCTTGGTGTTCTCAGCCGTGGTCTCGTGCTTGTCATTGTGCAGGGCCGCGCACTGGCCTTCCAGCTGGAAAGGAACGGGAGCAGAGGGGCGTGAAGAGCCCCACCTCTTGCCCCTTTCCCTCCTTGGGGGCCAGGGGCCGGTCCACTCCCCTCCACGGTCTTCAGGCCTCGTCTGCTCCTTCCTTCACACATACTTGCTCCTGGAGGCTGGGCGCTTTCTGAGCACAGCTCCTCTCTCCTCTGCCTCCACGCTGGACTGCTGGGTGGCCCAGGTGGAACTGGCCCATTCCTAAGCCCACCAGCCAAGGAGACTCCACACTCCAGCTATATCCCTCGTCCCAAAGCCAGAGGAGTCTTAAGATCCAAACTAAATCCTCCTTGTTGTCATTCAAGTCCATCTTTCTTTCCCTTGGGCCTTGAGGGAGACAGAAAAGAGCTAAGTGATGTTCTTTGTAAAATTTCCCTCCAGGGCTGGTGTTGTTAGGCAGTGGGCTAAGCCGCTGCCTGCAACACCCCTATCCCACATCGGAACGGTAGTTCGAGTCCTGGCTGCTCCGCTTCTCATCCAGTACCCTGCTAATGGCCTAGGAAAGCAATGGACAATGGCCCAAGTGCCTGGGCCCCTGCCACCCCATGTGGGAGACCTGGATGGAACTCCAGGTTCCTGGCTTTGGCCTGGACCAGCCCTAGCTATTTGGGGAGTAAGCCAACAGATGAAGAAAATCAATCTATTTCTCTCTCTCCTCCCATTCAAATAAACAAATATTAAAAAAAAAAAAAAACATTTTGAACTGCTCTTTCTTCTCTCAGCTAAATATACCCAATTCTTTTCTCTTATTTAAAGATCTTAATTGTTAGAAAGGCATAGTAGCAGAGAGGGAGGAACACACACACACACACACAGAGAGAGAGAGAGAGAGAGAGAGAGAGAGGGAGAGGGAGAGGGAGAGAGAGACTATCCTTCCATTGTTCACCCCTACATGGCCACACAATGGCCAGGAACAGGCTGGGCTGAAGCCAGGAGTCGACAATCCATCTGGGTCTCCCACATGCATGGCAGGGGATCAAGGACTTGGGCCATCCTCCGATGCTTTCCCAGTCACATTGGCAGGGAGCAGCTGGGAAGCAGAGCAGCTGGGACTTGAACCAGTGCTCATACGGGAAGCAGTATTGTGGGTGACTTCACCTGCGGGGCCACAATGCAGGCCCCACTCAGACCTTTTAATCTCGAGACACTTTTGTAGTCAGAAATCCTGGAAATTCTCAGGGACTAACTACAACAGGTCAAACAGACCCAGGTCCCTAAAGCAAGTGAAAAACCCATATTTTCCTAAGCTCTTCTGGCTTTGCCAAGCTTCCAACTCTCCCACCAGGGAAAGCCTCAAACCAGCGCAAATAAATGTATCCTAATAAATTTAGCCTAATGAATGTGGCCACTCGGGGGAGGCAGAAGAGACAATGAAGAGTTTTGTGCCATTCTCAAGAGGCTGCCATGTCATCAGGCAAGCGTGCAGTAATTAAATCGAGTGGCAATCACTCGTTCCAGGGATGGAGCTTAGCTGGTAAGAACTTAATGCATGCAGTGAGGAGGAGAAAGAGCAGGAGCAGCAAGGTGCAACCGTGCAGAGAGCCGTGGGGAGGCGGCAGGCGGTTCCTGGAGGTGAACTCACCTTGCCGCAGAAGGAACGCAGCCCGCGGCCACCGCCTGGGGAGGAGCAGCAGTGCAGGAGCCTCCAGCACTCCAGCGTGTGTCTTAACACGCGGCCCCGAATAGCCCTCTCTATTCAAACGGAAGCAATGTGTTTGGGTCCGGCCGGGGCTAGACAGAACAGGACAGGAGCCCAGGGCCACCCTAGTCTCTCTCCCCCAAGAGCCCTGACTTTGGCATGCAGGCCCTGAGCACAAGGCCTAGGTGACCAATCTTCCTGGGGCCATTAGCCAGGGGTTTGCAACTGTAGTGACGCCGGTCTACAGAGGGCAGGCTCAGGCACATCACAGAGGGGGGTCTGCTGTCTGTGTCAGCCTGCAGGGTCACAGGACACCCAGAGGACACCGATGACCCTGTCCAGCCATGCAGCCAGGTGGAGGAGACAGACTGACAGCTGGAGTACTCACGGCCAGCCTGGAGGAAAGGAGCTGGGCGGCAGCCCCTCCCCTGAGATCAGCGCCTGGACAACACCCGCATCCTTTCCTTTCCTATGGAGGATGCCAGGAATGGAGGCCTGTGTGGGTGTTCCTGTGGCCGCTGGCTGTAACTCTGACGACATCTGCGAATCCCTCATGGGGGAGACCTGGGCACCTGGCATTTCAGACCTGAAGGTTTATCTGGGGTCACTTGTGGTTTTTTTTTAAGGTTTATTTATTTATTTGAAAGTGCAAGTTACAGAGGGGGGGAGCAGAGAGAGAGATTTCTTCCATCCACTGGTTCACTCCCGAAAGAGCTGCAACGGCTGGGGCTAGGTCAGACTGAAGCCAGGAGCTCCCAGGTGGGTGCAGGGGCCCAAGCACTGGGGTCATCCTCCACTGCTTTCCCAGGCACATTAGCAGGGAGCTGGATCAGAAGTAGAGCAGCTGGGACTCAAACGGACACTTGTATGGGATGCCGGCGTGGCAGGCAGTGGCTTAACCTGCCCCACGGCAGCACCAGCCCCACCCATGATTTTAAATGCTATCTTTTGGGTAGCTACATGGTTCTTCTCTATTATCAAAAAGAAAAGTCTCTAAGCAGCAGGGAAAGTGGGCAAGGGGCAGAGAACAGGCGGGCTGAAGAGCCAGGTGCCCCGGGAGCCGACAGAACGTACCCGTTTCTGTTTCTGGATGAGTTGCTCCAGCTCCTGCTCCTTACAGAACAGCTTCCGCTCCAGCTCTTGACTGCGGGCCTGAAACCTCTCCGTGTCCTGCCAGGCCAGAAATGAGGTCAGGAGGGGCTCGGACACCACGTACCAGCCCTACAGATACCCCCACCCTGTGAGCTACCCAGCAGCAGGGCCCAACTTCCAGACTCTGAGGTCCCACCTGCAACGCTCCAGGGCTTCGGTGACTTGCCTGCCACATCACTGAGGACCCAAGTGCAAGGGTTCAAGGGGCCACTGGGCAGACTCCCAGCAAGCTGACCATGACCAGCCACTGTGCCCTGCCACCTTCCCCCACGCCAGTTAGTGGTAGAGCACTACACAGGGAGAACAGGGGCTGAGTTCGAATCTCCAGCCTCAGTCTCAGCATTCATAAATTGGGTGGTGGCAGAGGTCGGTGGGGGCCTCTTTGACCCCTTCCAAGTTAGAAATGTTGCTGCACAGTGGGCATTGTCGCTGGCTCGCTAAGCTGCCCCCACTCTGGAAACAGAGTGCTGGCTGGCGGTCCAAGCATTTCGTGTCCCCTCTGTGATGGAGTTCTCCCAGCCCTGCTCCTCCTGGTGTCTCACCTCCCCGCCCTCCAGCCCTGCGCTGGGCCTCCGCCCCAGAGATGCTGAGGCCCTGGTGATGCAGGTGCAGAGGGGCGTGGCTGTGGGATAAAGGGCGCCTGACACTCAACAGAGCCAGGTGGAAGGGCCTGCGCTGGGCACCAGGAGACCTGGGTTCTAGTCTCTGCCTCACCCAACTGTCTGGCTTCATTCTCTGGACCACCAGTCCTTTGCTCATAAAAACAAAAATAACCGTGCCACCTGCTGCATGTCACTGGAATGCAGAATGGAGGTACAGGAGGAGAGGCCACCCTCCCCTCCCTGTAACTCACGATGGAGCTGGGGGATATTGCACTGGCAGAGTCCTGGCTAGTAGGTTTGGCATGAGAGCCAGCAGCAGCTGGCGCGCGGAATACAGGCCTTTGGACAGCAGTGTTCTAAGGCTCAGTGTGTCTCCTTGGTTCATCATCTGCAGATATTACCTGGTCCCTGTGCCCATTTGCAGGCAAGCTGGTGGCCAGAGGGGCTGCAGGGAGAGCAGGTGAGTGTGCTCATCGTAACTGTTTGCAATGGCAGAAGCAGGCTCTGAGCAGACAGCTCCTGCTCCCAATGCCCAGGGAGTCTGCCTCCTGCGGTAGGCAATGGGCCTAGCAAGTATCTTACTGCACCTGCTGGGACGAAGTGTTGAGGGGCCTGTCACCCAGAAGCCGGAGGGTGCAAGTGATTAACTAGTCCTCTCCTGGTCAAACACACACGTGAATACAGAGCCAGGATCCAAACCGTGATCAGAGGGTCGGGCCTTTTCCATAGTGTCATAACCTGGAATACCACTGTTCTTAACTCTATCATCCAGAAAAAGCCCGTGTATCTAAAGGTTTAATGGCACTGTCAAAGATATCGTAACTGTTCCCATTTATGCAAAAAGCGTAAATCTAAGCACAGAGGGTTAAAGGCATTGGTGTCAGGAAGGGAGAAGGAAGGAGCACAAAGGGTAGGTAAGGTATTATGGCTGGATCACTTTGAGTGATGCTAATTTGTCCTTAAATTTTTCCTCCGGCCTCTGCTGACTCCTATTCCCCATCCCACATGCCTTAGTCCACTTTTTGGTTCTGGGAGCGTGCCTCATTGTTTAGCACAGACCTTGACCTGTCGTCATAGCCAGGGCAGAGGGGCCAAAATGCCCTCAGGGAGTAAGGGGTGGCTTTCCTATTGCAGGGGTACGGAAGGCTGCTGTCCTCGGAAACTATTTTAGGGTCTGGCAATGTGCCGTGTATGCGTTCTGCCTGCCATATACTCATTTCCCTGTGCTGAAGGTCGGGGCCAGCCAGAGTATTCTCAAGCCCTAAAAAGAGAACAGCGGGATCGTCGATCTGGAAATGCTGACAAGTCTCCAGCAGGCTCTAGTTGGAGAGTGTATCTGGATTTTTCTGAAAAGCATCTGATTCCCTCTTGGTTTGAATGACATCTGTGATAATAAACGGAGCTGTGATGTGGATAATCCCAAGCAGCATAAAATTAAAACTCGGTTCCAGGGACAAGAGTGCCAGCTTAGGGCTGAGAGGCAGGTGGCTTTCTGCCGAGAACCCCGCAATCATCCAACAACCGAGAACAGTCTCCCGTAGCTTCTTTTTTTCTTTTCAAGTGAGCATGCTCATTAAAAAGGGCCCTGCTTGGTTTGGTAAAGGATAGGATCTTAGCAGACCTCAGCTCCCTGGGCAAACAACGGATCCTGGTAAGGGGTTGAGAAAATGACAGACTAGGAAAAGGAAGTATGAGGTTTTACATTTTCTCCTGCGGAATCTGAAGGGGATGGAATTTTTTTTTTTCTTGGCTATTAAATTTTCTAGGCATCTAAGGGGCAAGAATGGGCAACATAGATGCTTATGATTTTCCCCTTAGAGGAAACGCTGGGCATGGAATGAAAGTGGCTGGTGCGCTGGGTGGGCCTGCCATACAGGAGACCAGCCAGTGTCACACCCAATCTGCAGACTGCTTCAGCTGATAAAGCAAGCACTTCCATCCGCCCATCCATCCACATCCATCCATCCACACCTCCATCTCTCCATCTGTCAATCCCTCCCTCCCTCCTTCCATCTGTCTATCTGTCCATCCATCCATCCATCCATCCAAGCACTGGTCCATGTGTCCATCCATCCATTCATCCATCCAGGCACTGATCCATGTGTCCATCCATCCGTCCATCCATCCATCCATCCATCCATCCAGGCACTGGTCCATGTGTCCATCCATCCATCCATCCATCCAGGCACTGGTCCATGTGTCCATCCATCCATCCATCCATCCATGCAAGCACTGGTCCATGTGTCCGTCCATCCATCCATCCATCCATCCATCCATCCAGGCACTGGTCCATGTGTCCGTCCATCTGTCCATCCATCCATCCATCCTCCCACGCACTCATTTGTCTCCATCCATCCATCTTTCCATTTACTCACTTACTTATTCATTCACTGATGCACTATTTGTCAAGCACCTGCTATGTCTCTTGTGTAAGTAAAAGATCAAGATCTCTGCTTCTGTGGTGATTATGTTAGTAGGAGGATACAGACAGCAATCAAGAAAAATGAATAATTACCGTTTATGTCACCTATGAGGGTGACAAATGCCTGGGGAAAGAATCAAGTGGAGAAAGAGGGACTCAGCAGTGGGTGGGCGGGCACTGCCATCTTACAGTGAGGGAGAGAGCACAGCCGTCAGCGCCATCTCAGCCGACACGCACCTTCAGCAGAAACTGCTCCTTCTCGCTCCGGATCTGTTGCTCCATCTCCTCATACAGGTGCTGGATTTCTTCGTCATAGGCGGCGATCTTCCTACACAGGTAGCAAGAGGGAGAGTCTGATGTGGTTTGCATCTACAATTCCCCACCCCACAGTGGCCACTCCCCTCATGAGCTGGGGGAGGAGGGATGACCTCAGAGGTCAGGTTAGCTAGGGCTGCAGGATCAGGCCCTCGGGGTGAGCCGATCCCGCAGGGATTGTAGAGGCCAGAGGCCAGGCAGGACCTGCCCCAGCTGCTGGTGGGTCCCTTGTGGCCTCTCCTGCTCCCTCTTCCGGCCATCACTCCCAGATGGTCCTGATGTTCATTGGCCGAGCTGCCCTGGACCCCTCCTCTTCTTTTCTGCTGTTTCATGTCACCCTCAAGTCCCCCCTGCCTCTGCTAGACTCACGATCTCTATTCCTGCAGATCTGAGTTTGAGCCCCAGCTATTCTGCTTCTGATCCAGTTGCTGGCTAATGTGCCTTGGAAACAGTGGAGGATGGCCCAAGTGCTCGGGTGGGCCTCTGCCACCCATGTGGGAGACCTGGATGCAGTTCTAGGCTCCTGGCTCCAGCCTGGCCCAGACCTGGCTGTTGTGGCCTTTAAGGAGTGAACCAGCAGATGGAAGATTTCTTTCTCTGCCTTTCTCTCTGTCTCCCCCCACCCCATCACTTTGCCTTTCAAAGAAATAAAATACGCAATTTTTAAAAAGGACGAGAATGTGTTTAGTTCCTGAGCCCTCCATAGTTTTAACCCCTAACTCCCAGGCCCACACGGGCCTCCACTTTCTCTGCTGTCCGAGGCTTTGCCACAGCCCAGCTGCTGCCACTTCCTCATCTGCTGCCCACTGGGAAGCGTCCGCCCCATATGCACAGACTGAGCGAAGAGCAAGCAGCCACTCTGATCTGTCACAGCCTTCCAGTGTGACAGAAACCGTCCACCTCACCCTGACAAAGGAGCTGCAGGGAGACCCGGCGGTCGGGGTCATTCGTAACAGAGTGCTCGCCTTTGCGTTCCCCTTACTGGAAGCTCGACAGACTGCACGGCGTTGGCCCCAGGGTGTAATGAGCAAGAGACAAGCATTGCCCGTGACCTCCATGAGCAGCGGCCCCGTCTCTGCACGTGTTCTGTGTCCCTGGCGCAGCCAATCTTTTCGGTTCAGTGTGCGATATCTCTTACTGGTAAATGGCGGGCACTTGGGACTGTTACTTGTGCTCTCAGCTAACCCGTAACGATGCAGAGAAAATCCTGGGGAGACTGTGCAGAGAAAAGGGGACACTGCCGAGCAGGGGAACCCCAGATGCAGTCTGAGTTAGGGAGGCAAAGTCCCTGGACCCTCCGGCCTTTGAAGAAGCTCAGATGCTGGGTAGCAAGTGCGCTCTAGGAAAACCTTAGCCAGTCGTTCCAGTTATATAAATACTGGAGAACGAATAAAATGAGCTAAGAGAAACTCAAAAATGGATTTAGTCCTCCTAAAGCAATACTAATTACAGTCATTCATATAAGCTGTTTACCATTTATGTTTAATAACCATGTAGGGCATTAATTCGGTAATACCACTCAATGTATTATATCAATTGTGCGCTATGCTTCGTCTGATTAAATTAATATTCTATGCTTTTCCTGTTCATGTGTCACTCCACTAATATGGAATTAACTTACTTTACAAACCACTAAAAACCAAACGGAGGGAAAGGCTGACACAGGCTCTGAGTGGCGTCTACTCGTAGCCCTTGCCTGCAATGGCTGAGGCTACTGGAGAGAGGCCCTGGGGTTCCAGGTCGGCCTCAGTGGTCCTGGGCCCTGCCAGACTCCGACCTGGACACGCTGGCATCCTGGGAGACTCTCCAGGCCTGACAAGCCTGGTTCAGGACACAGCGGCCTCAGGAATGGGAGCGTTGGAGTGTGGTTCACACCAGCCGCGACCCCAAGCCACCTCGGAGGCCTGTGTGACCTCGGGCAACATTCTGGCTTCCTTTCACCCCAGGGTAGCGCCTGCTGCACGCCCCGCCCAGCGTCACCGTCACTGGGGCAGACACATAAGAAAGCCAGTGCTACAGCGTTCAGAGCCACGATGCTCTAAGCACACTTTCTTATTGTAGTTATCGCGGGCTGCGCAGGCCAAGGGGCACTGCTCCCGAGGAGAGGGTCTTAGTTTCAGCGAGGAAAGAGCTGCTGAGTTCGGAAAGGCTCAGAGGCGACCAGATGACGACGAAGACAAAGCTTAGTCAGTAAAAAGCACTGTCAGACCAACCCATTAGAGGCACGGGCTGGGGGTGCGCATGCGTCTGCAGGAGCCAAGCCGTGGCGGCGAGAGAGCCGCGGGGCCAGACGCTCTCGCGAGATCAGCGTTCAGGGTGGGCCGGACGCTCTCGCGAGATCAGCGTTCAGGGTGGGCAGCGCGCCACATTGGGGCCACCGGGGAAAGAGGCGACGATTCCCGTGTGCTTACTCTATGCATCCTTGTCGCCACAACTGCTAGAAGGCACTCCGCCCGGCTCCTCTGGGGGCTCCTCTGGGAGGACCACCCCTCATCCCCGCCCCCCCGCCCCACCTCCCCCGCCATCTTGCGACCCTTCTCTGAACTCTTACGATGTTCTGCTTGGGACCATTGCACACTTAATTTCAAGTGGACCTGGACAACAGCTTCATTGGGGTTTATGGTCTCCTGTTAGAACTGAGAACCTATGAACGACTCAGTTTACAACTTCGGGTACCAACCTACAAACTCGCGGAGCGTACTGCGGGAACGCCAGACGCCAGACGCCAGGGCAGTGGACGAATGTCAGGGTTGGGAGAGCTTCCTGGTCCAACTAAAACCTCTTTCTCCAGTGTCAAACTCCTTGCCACAATCCCTGCATCCAGTATGAAACCAAACGAGGCCAGAGCACCCTCAGTGCTGTCTCTCTGAGCAGCTCTTTTTGGACTATTCCAGCTTCTGGAATGTGTCTCCAGGACCTTATCCTCCTTCTGAATAAAAGACCTTAATAAGCTTGAGAACAGCTCGAGAATGCAAGGAGTTGCGTCAGGCTTAGGCCAGGCCTCCTAACTTCCTCCAACTCAGCCTTGTGTGATTTTATTTTAAAGTCCCTTCACCATCCCCTTGCTCTTCTCTGAATGGGCTGTAATTACCTCTCTTAAGCCCAGAGCCCTAACTTGAACACCCTGATGAGTTTGATAAGCAGAGGGGAGAGCTGACTGTTGTCTCTCTCTCTCTCTCTCTCTTTTTTTTTTTTTTTTGGACAGGCAGAGTTAGTGAGAGAGAGAGAAAGGTCTTCCTTCTGTTGGTTCACCCCCCAAATGGCCGCTATGGTTGGTGCACTGCGCCGATCTGAAGCCAGGAGCCAGGTGCTTCCTCCTGGTCTCCCATGCAGGTGCAGGGCCCAAGCACTTGAGCCATCCTCCACTGCCTTCCCGGGCCACAGCAGAGAGCTGGACTGAAAGAGGAGCAACCGGGACAGAATCTGGCGCCCTGACCGGGACTAGAACCCGGGGTGCCGGTGCCGCAGGCGCCCGCCTGACTGTTGTCTCACTTGTACTAGGTGCTGCCATATTAAATTCTCTTGCCAGCCACCCCATAGCTAATGAATGCTGAGCCCACTTGCCAACTAAAACCTCTAAATCTTCCATCTATGGGATCGTTTTTGCTTTAAATACGGTGCTGCCGAATCATATTTCTCCCTCTGTCCCCACTTCTGCCACTGGTGTTGGACAGAGCGCAAGACTATGGATGTAATCTGGTAGAGTCCACGTCTGTGAGTGCCTGTCGATCTTTCTACTCTGTCACGATATTGATGCATCACAATTGGTCATCCAGCTGTGCAATGAATTTCCAAGTTTTGTTATTTTAAATTTGGCTTAAAGTCAGAATGTAGGCTAAACAATCTCTACTGTTGGTTTTTACAATTTAATTTACCTAAGAGTTATTTTGAAGTTTTTTTTTAAATATATAAATTATTGGTTTCTAGTTTTATTGTTTTACAATATGAGGATATACTGGTAAGGTGTCTGCTTTTTGGAATCTGTTAACCTTTCCTCCGTAGCCAAAAACCTATCAATTTTTGCATAACATCTATGAAAAGGGTGCATATTCTATTTGTAAGGCAATCATCTATTTTCCTTTCTTAAGCTTGTCGATCAAAGGTTTCAAATACTTGATATCCTTAAAATATTTTTGTCCAATGTGTCAAATCTGAGATAAGTTTGTTAAAGTCTTCTAAAAGTCTTAAGTCTTGCTATTTTTTTTTTTACAGTCTCTGCCTTATGCTGCCATGTTGCATACCTTCTTTATGGATGGAACTTTTTATTACTACAAAATATTCCCCATTTAGTCTTCCTTTTTTCAAGCTGTTGGTGAAAATACTAAGACAAGGTTGACACCTGTGGCAGAGTTCTCTGGGCTATTAATGCATAATCCATGGGAATAACTATTCAATCTGTCTTCTGTTAGCCACTCTCAAAACACTCCCCCCACCCCCAACCATATTCTGTTATATGATGTGATCCTAGACATCTTGAGCTACATGAGGACCGGGAGGTGGAGAAAACGCAGATAAAAGAGAAGAGAGGGAAAGAGCCATGTTCCCGTGAGAGGGACGGACAAGTGCAGAGAGAAGCAGCCAGGCAGAGTCAGCAGTAGCCACGAGCCATTATCTACCCTCCCCTTCCTTTTCTTTCCTCATGATGGTTGGACAGTTCCTCTATCAGGTTCCTGGGTGACCTAGCTCATAACTTTACTGCCAACACAGCTATGTTTGTTCATTAATTCAGAGTTAGGAGGCTTGGGTTCAAGTCCTCGTTCTGACTTTGGCGAGCTTTCTGACCTGGACAAGCCCTATCACGTCAGGCAGCCTGAGGCTTTCTGAATCTGAGAAAGCAGATGGTGATACCTACCTTAGAAATGCATTGTTGGGGCTGGCACTGTGGCGTAGTAGGCTAAGCCGCCACCTGTGGCACCAGCATCCCATATGGGCACCAGTTTGTGTCCCGGCTGCTTGTCTTCCAATCCAGCTCTCTGCTATGGCCTCGAAAAACAATGAAAGACGGCCCAAGCG